GCGGCTTCCCGCTTGGCAGGTGGGTGCCCCGGGCGCCGCGGCGGGCCGGGGATCCCGGGATCCGAGCGGGTATCAGGACTCCCTAGGGGACAGGCTGGCCGTGCCTGTGCTCCGGGTTCTCAGTCCCCGAAGTTTGGGGTTGACCCGCCGCGGGACCTAGGGGCCCTTGGGTGCCGGCTCGCGGACTCGGCGACCCACCTCCGCGGGAGCGCCGCGCGGGACCGAGCGTGCGGGGACACTGGCGACCTCGGAAGCGGCGCTGCGCCTCCCCTCCCCCACCCTCGCCAGTCCCACGGTCTGCAGTTCAGCAGGCACCCGAGTTCGTTCGGGGAGGGGTGCGGTTCCCAACGTCCTGGACTCCAGCCAGTCGCAGAATCCGCAGGGACGGTTAATTACATTGATCACCGTGTGTGCTTCTCCTTAGGCCGTCAGAGGACTGGCCCTGGAAGGTCCTGGGATCTTCCCTCCCCTTCGTGCTCTAGAGAGCTGACTGAAGAATAGTGAAAGGCGAGGAGAGAAGGCCACAGGAGGTGAGTGAGGGGCTTCCTGCTCCAGACCTTCCTGGGAGGTAGGTTGGAAGGGACAGCGGGAGGGCAGGGAGCCCCCCTCCATGTACTGTTAGAGAGTGACGGTGGCCCAGGGAGGTGTCATTTCTCAATCCATAGAGCGTGCCTGATAAGTCATTTGCAGACTCTTCCAGCACATGATAGGCCACCGCGGCTTCAAATGGACCGCCCAGTCTGGCCCAGCCTCTGATGTCATTAGGTTTGATAACCGGCTGAACAAGGCAGTGTCCCACAGCCCAGGTTCACAGACCTGCTTAGGAATGCTTAGGACGAGGCCTCAGACAAGGAGGACAGCAAACCTAAGTTTGTGCTGCCCAGTGCAGGAAACCCTGCTAACATATTCCAGTTCTTCCCACACTCAGGGAGTAGCATTTGGTTTGGGGCCCGCTACTGGGAGCACCAGGGGCTAAGGCACAGAATTCCTGGGATGTAAGCTACATCCTCTGTATTTTGCCATATTCTAGTGCTTTTAGGTTCTTCTGGCTTGTTTTTCTATGTGAAGCTGGGGAGGGTTCCCCAGTCCATTTCTGCTTATTTTACACTGCTGTGTATAGGACAGAGGGCTGAGAACGCATCGGTTGAAACCCAAATGGAGATGGGTTCAGACCTCCACTTGACTGCTGACTGTAAATATCTGTAAAGTGAGGTTCAGTGTAAAGTAGGGGTGATAATGCCACCCTCCTAGGATAGCTGAAATGTGAAACTGGAATGGTTTACGTCCAATAGCTTAGGAGGCCACCTCACCAGCCTCCACCTACAAGAGTTTAAGCTATTTTGAGCCGGGGACTTTTGAGAACAGAGTGGTCCACTTGGCAAGATTATTATTGTTTTTTTTTTTTTTCTGAGGGTATTAGAGCCAAGTGACAGACATAAAACCAAGGCAGAGGGTCTAAGGCAGGTAATAGGAGACTCTAACTCGCCACCTCTAGCATGGGGGAAGGGACCATTTCTGGAAGGAAACCCAAACTTTGCAGATGACCAGGAGGAACATCTGTACACGCTCCATGCGTTCTCACGTGGTCATGACCTGACCTGAGATATTGTTTCCTTGGGTGTAACATGACAGCCGGCTTGTTGGGGTTTCTGTTCCCACCCGGTACCCTACAGCTGGCAAATCCCAAAGAGAAATCACACACTGGACTCCATAAGGTTATAAACTGACTGGCTCATTAGGTCAGGCTTCTTGTTAACTCTTATAACTTATATTAACCCATTATTCTCATCTATGTTAGCCATAATGGCCTCCGTACCTTTCTCAGCTGGGCAAGTTACATGCTGCCTCTTCAGTGGTCTGCGCAGGAGGGCTGAGGGAGCTCTGCTTCCAGAATACTCCCAGTCTCTTTGCTCCACCCCTACTTCCTGTCTGGCTTTCCCGCCTATACTGCCTGCCCGGCCAATCAGCGTTTTATTAAAATGATTGACAGAATACAGGCAATTCTCCCGTATCACTTGGGTACTTCTGGGACACTAGGAGACTTTGGCTTGCGGCTCCTGAGTCCATCAAAGTGGACGTAGGACAGGCTGTGGGGTAGGACCGGCTGTTTGCTGGCCGGCGCTCCTTGTGGTGGAGGAGCTTGGAGTCGGAGAGACTTTGTATCCCACCTCACTACGTACAATTGAGGAGAGATTTTCTCCATGCCTCAGTTTCTCTACCTGTAAAATGGAGCCCAGAATAACTGTACGACCCGTTAGATTCAAGAATCCAAAGCACCTAGGACAGCACCTGGCACCTGGCAGGCATTACACATGTGCCTTCTCTTTCTTCCTTTTCCCTGATGCTCTCCATAGGACCAAGAGTGGGGCATGGTGGCCCATGACTTTAATCCCAACGATTGGGGGGGGCAGAGGCAGGAGGATCTCTGTGAGTTCAAGGCCACCCTGGTCTACAGAGTGAAAACAGGACAGGAAAAGAAAAAAATAAATAAGCAGAAAGGTCCAGCAAAGCTGGCTCTGCCTATCTCACAGTGGTTTTGAGCATAAAGCAAGGAGGTGAAAGCAGATATGGAAAGTTAAGGACCCACAGAAATGTAAAGTCGTCCCGTGGTCGAGAACTGCTGAGGTTCTTCTGGAAAGGTCCTGAGGGTCAGGGCTTCTCCACAAAGTCAGTTGAAATCGGACAGCAAGAAGGGCCCTGGCCTGTAGCGCTCTTAAGGAACGTTGTTCTTCAGCCATCTTAGCGCCTCGTGCCCAGACCAACCCAGTGCTGTGCCCCAGAAGCAGCATGGGAAAGGACTGGGTTTCTAGGTACAGCCACAGAGGTCAGAGGGCTGGGCTGGTGGGAGCAGCTGCTGGACCACAGCACTGTTAGACCGGGCTGGAACCAGGCCCAGACAAGGCCCAGGTCAATATTGACTATCCTCAGCTGGCTCGCCTGCTCCTCGGCCTCTCCTTCAGCGGGGGTGTTGACATAAGCTACCGAATGAGCTTCATCGTCATATTCTTTGAAACAACACCCCATGATCTCTCCCCCGGCATTCTCCGGGGCCTGTGGTGTGGGGATGGTATAAGGGTTTGGACCCACTTCGTCTCCCTGGGTCACACAAATGGGGTAACCGAACCTCTCTGTCCTGCTTTGTTCTCTGAGGCCTTCGACACCCCAAACACCGTGGCCCTAGGCAGCTCCACAGAGCCAGAAGGCCGCAGAGTAAAGGCCCTGGCTTCAGCCTAAGGTCTCACCCTGAAGGTAGCAGCAGTATAAAACAGGTGAGACTTTCTCCTGTGTGGTTTGGGAAGTCAGAATAGGGTGCTGGGGGCGGGGTGACCTTGTGTGACTCTTAGGGCTTGTGAAGAGAAACAAATGGGGGCTTGGACCCTTGTGGGGACTGAACAGTGAGGGGACCAGACAGGTCTTGGGAAGGGACAGCAGCTCCCTGTTGCTGACCATATTTAAACAGAGTGCAGCCAGACTCCTCTTGGGACTGTCATGGGGATGGAAATCTGGACAGAGGTAGAGGAGCAGGTCAGAGGTTCCGTGGAGCGGACAGCTCTTCCTCTGGGGCAGGCTAACTCATACATACCAGCCTCTCCTTGGAAGGAACAAGTTTAGCATTCCCAAAAGTGAAGTCTTGTTTCCCAGGGTGTGCAGAGTCAGGAGTGGCTGAGGCATAACAAATGATATCATTTGACATTTAGCAAACTCCAGAGAGTTAAGGCTGAGAAAATCTTCCTGGCCAATGAGACATCTTCTGTCCACAGAAATTTCTAATTGGGGGGCGGGGGAAACGGGGGCTGATGAGTCCCTCCATTCCTCCTAGAGGAGAGGGGTGATGGGCCCAAGGTGAATTACAAGGAGGCCACATAGGCCTATTGTCGATATCGGTGTTGGGGCCCCACTCTGCGGGGAACAGGGTCCTCTACAGACCACACCAGGCCCAATAGTGGCAATGATAGGAACATTTCTAAGCTCTGTAGAGTCCAGGAAAGTCACCTCTGTCTTGTAGTTTGATTTTAAAGTAGGCCCTTCCTCAAGAAATCTCGGGAAACACCACTTGGGCGGGACAGGGTCCTGATGACTGAATGAAGCTAAGTTCACCTCAGGGTCTAGAGCAGACTCTTTCCAAGTTGCTGTTCTTAGGCAAGTAATCTGGTTTTTGTGGCCAAATAATTCCTCGTCCCCGTGACAGAGTAAACACTGCTCCTCACAGACCTCTGCGTGAGTGTCATGTATGTGACACGCTCAGCCTGGGGCCAGTACTTCAACGAGACTCTCCCGGAGGGATTCTTACTAAATCACCCTAAAGCTCCCTGAGGAAGGATGGTTACGCTCCTTGACAGGCTGAGGAGAATGAATTCCTTCTCTTGTCAGCAAAAGACACAAGGGCTGGGACCTAAATATTAGGTCAAGGCCACAGGCTCCAAGGTCCCTGCTGAGCTGTAGGGCCTTAGTCGCAGCCGATAAGCATGCCCTGAGCCTTCCTGTGAGGAAGCTGGGACCTTACTCCTCACTACGTCACTGGCACCTGAGCTGGGGGGTCCTTCACTGTTCTGTGAACCAGATTCCCAGAAATGGCAGGGATCCCACCAGCCTCATCCCAGTATCCCAGAGTTTGCTTGTGTAAGCAACCTAGCAGAACTGAATCCATTCTCCTCCCCAGGAGCTGCACCCCGGTGCCTCGCCATTCGCGTTTTCTCAGCCTGTGGTCCATCCTCGGAATCCCTTTAGCGAGCTCAGCTTGTTTTCTTTGAAAGGCATTCAAGGTGTGGAAGCCACACGTCATCCAAAGCTGGGTGTGGCCGGATAAGGTGGGTGACCACACTGGACACTTGCTCCTGGTGAAAAGCAGGGCTGACAGGAGAAAAACTAACATTCAAGATAGGCCCCGAAGGGGGTTCTCAAATCACAGAGCTCAGGTGACAGATGGACACCCCAAGAGCTCTGCTGTAAGGTCTGTGTCCATCTTGGGCCTCTATTGTTATGTCCTGGGTCTATGAGGAACCAGCATGGCAGGCTGGCTATCTTCTCTTCTCCAGAAGCAGCAGCTTGAGAGTGACCCTCTCACCCTCTAAGTGGACACTTGACCTATTTTCCCTTGTCCCTGTGGAATGGTAACATCAAACCCTGTCCACTGCCCTGTGAGCCAAATCTCCTATTGTCTCCCTTCTTCCCCAGGGCCTTTGTTTTTCATACACGCCAGACCCTGGTCATCAAAGCCCCCAATGCAACCTTTTTAAAACATTTTGCCCACCCCGACAGAGAACAAGACATACTGGTTCCATATAAGGTAAGGGTCAGCCTACAGGTCGGAAGAGCCCTGCTTACCTGCGCTGACTCAGACAATCACCAGGTCAGGTGGAGGGAGAAGGCCGGTCCCTCTCACTTTAGGCTTCCATGAGTTCTCTTTAGGCTGGGCCCTGTTTCCTGCTGGTGAAGACCTCCAAGAAGGAGAGCATTTGCAGAGCATGCTCACAGTGCAGAGGGGACACAGGGATAGCCCTGCTTACAGCTCATAGGTGGGCACTGTTCATGGCACATAGCTGAGCATAGGGACATTACTGCTCATAATGTGTAGGATGGACATGGGGACAGCCCTGCTCACAGTGCAGAGGAGACATAGGGGCAGCCCTGCTCACAGTAATTGGGGGCACAGGGACAGAGCAGGACCCATGGATTCTGATCTGGGTTTAGTCTCCACCCCATATACATACACAGTCATTTCCTGCTTCTGTGATCTGGGATACACTCTGCCCTCATCTAGATGGTGAATAAGCATTCCTTCCTTGCAGAACTGCTAGCTCTCAGAAGAGGCCTCACAGGTACTCAAAAACAGCTCCTGTCTTTTCGGATTCTGAGTCTCCAAACCCCTTGGACACTACAGTCCCTCTTTCAGTGACCCCAGGCCTGCGACTCCCAGAAATGTCATACCAGCTCTCCTCCTGAGTTTGCTGGGCAGGGCAACAGATTCATCTGTAAAACCTCTGCCAGGGACCGCTGCATTCCTGTCTGCCAGGCTCCCTGCCAGAGGAGCTTCCTTCTCTAACTGGTTTTGGCTGGAGTTATCCTTCCCAGCACTGGGCACCCACTCTGATCAGTCATGGGTCAGGGAGCAGAAAGGTACTACTAAAGCACTCCTTAAACACCATAGTGCATTCCTGGCCTGGTCTGGTCCTCAGTCAGCTTCCTGACCTGGGTTAAAGAATTGGAGAGGCCAGCTCACGTCTGCCCGTTTCTACATCAGGTCTGAGGTCACAGACTCTTCCTCGGGCGAGGCAGATGAAAATGTGGTCCGTGAGGATTCTCTTCCTGCCTTGCTCATCTTTACGCTGACTCCTCTTGTCAACAGAGGTGTAGGCAGAGGTGGAGTGACAACTAAGATTCGTGTGGCCTGATTTGATTGAACACCACAGCCTGGTGGTCAATGCAGCGACTGCCCTCTCAAGGCTGTTGGAAATATGTGGGAAGAAAGCCCTAGAAATGGCAAGTCTCGACGGCTATTCTTGGCAGAGCACGTTGGTGTCCCAAGTGTTTCACTCATGGAGACTGGGTAACACTGGCTAGCATGGACCACTCTTAGGTTGAAAAGTATTTCAGGGCCCGGAGAGATGGCTCAGTGGTTAAGAGTATATATTGCTCTTACACTTTGGTTCCTGGCACCCAGGCCGGACGGCACACAACTACCACAAAACTCCACTTCCAGGAGATCCAATTCCTTCTCCTGGACTCCGAGGGTACCTGCATTCACACGCACAGACCGACACACAGGCACACACACATGCACACATGTAAAAATAAAATAAAACGTTATAAAATAGATAAAAATATTTTGATCCCCACCTCTAATTCCAGCACTTGGAAGTCTGAAACTGGAGGATTCACAGGAGGCCAGCCTGGGCTACATCATAAAAACTCTGTCTAAAAACAAGGCTGGTTTTCTTAGGAGACTGGAAAGGTGGACTGGAGAGATGGCTCAGAGGTTAAGAACACTGGCTGTTCTTCCAGAGGTCCTGAGTTCAATTCTCAGCAACCACATGGTGGCTCACAACCATCTGTAATGAGATCTGGCGCCCTCTTCTGGACTGCAGACATACATGCAGGCAGAACATGGCATACATAAAGAAAGAATGGAAAGGAGGCATAGGAGGAAGCCCCCAGAGTCCCCCAGACGAACTCTGCAGTTACTTTGGTGTATTTTTTTCTATAACAATGACACGTGGCAGAGGTGAAATTTTAAGTTAATCCTTTATTCTTCCTGCTTCAACAACAACAAACCTTGATGGTTTAATTTTCCTCTGGGATCCATGAATGTAGACAGGTTTGGACCCCAGCATGTCAGCAATTCCAGAAACCGTCAGACTTGGACCCAATATAGTCATCACATGAGACTGGGGAGGGGACTGTACCCTCCACCCCTACACCTACCACCAGTGTTCTGACGTTACCTTTCTCATGGAGGTTATGATCTGTATCTAATTAATGTGAGGGTGTGCTCTGAGCTCATTTCTTCGGGTTCATTTCTTCCCCACATGGATATTTAATTGCTTTGGCTATATTTATTGAAAAGATCATCCATTCCCACCACATTGCAATGTCACTTTTGCCATAAATCAAGCGACCTCATCCGAGTGGGTCTATTTCCGGATTCCTGCTTCTGTTCCATTGCTCTGTTTGTCAATCCTTGTGCTGTTCCTACACCGTATTAATTACGGCAGCTTTATGATAAATCCCAATATATATTTAGTATAGTCCTCCGACTTTGTTCCCTCCGACTGCCGAGGCTATTCCTGGTTCTGTTTCCTGCACATTTTAGAATCAGTGTGTCAGTTTCTGCCACAAGAAATATGCTGAGCCTGAAATAAGACCGTAGGTTGATTTGGGAGTAACTGACATCTTCACAGTGTGAAATCTTCAACATATGAACATTCTTTAATATCTCTAATAATGTTCTACGGCTTCCAAAGCAAAGAGGTTCATTCCTGGGTGTTTGCTGTTTTTAATGTAAGGTGATAAAGAATGTCATTTCCTTTCTCTCTTTTAAAATTCCATCTTTATTCCATTCTGCATGTGTGTGTGTGTGCTGCTCATATGTAGTGTACCACGTGCATGCAGAAGACTGCAGAGGTCAAAGGGGGGTGTCAAGATCCCCTGAAACTGGAGTACCAGGTGGTTGTGAGCTCCCATGTGGGTGCTGGGAACCAAACCCAGGTCCAGGTTCTCTGCAAGAGCAGCGATTTTTGTTTTGTTTTTCAAGACAGTTTCTTTGTGTAGCCCCAGCTGTCTTGGAATTCACTCTATAAACCAGATTGACCTTGAACTCACAGAGAGCCGCCTGCCTCTGCTTCCCCAGTGCTGGAATTAAAGGCGTGCACCACCACTGCCCGGCTCAGTCATCACTTTTATCCACTGAGCCATCTCTCCAGAGCCACTATCTCCTCCTCAAGACAGGCTGAACTAGCCCAGGCTAGTCTCAAACTCTCTGTACAGTGCACGCTGGCCTTGAGGTCCTGACCCTCCGATCTCGTTTGGGATTACAGGCGTGAGCTACTATGCCTGGCTCTGCTTCATTTTATATTGAAATTCAATGAACTTTTATTTATGCTGGCCTTGGATTGAGGACTTTCCAAACAAATTTGGTTGCTGCAGACTCTTCTGGGTTTTCTACTGTCACAAACACAGGGTCTCAAGCACGGCTGGCCTGACCATATTTCTGATGAGTTCTAGCGGCCGTCCTTTAGGTCTCAGGTTTCCCACTGTTTAAATGATTAGCTGATTTCTAAATCTCTATCTCCTACCCAAAGCTCCACTGACTGCTGCCAGCCTCCAGCCTCCCTGATCCCTTGGGTGCTGGTTTTTCTCCTCGGCCTTCTCTGCTGCCTCTGGTGAGCTTGTCAAGGAATAGCTGTTAGGGTGAACCCCAGAAGGTGTCAGAGTCATGGATACCACTTGATAGTGATGCCTTTCCTCCCCGTGAATTCCGATGCAAGAGCCAAGAGCTAATCTGAGAAATCAGGGCTTTTGGAGGAAGGTCTCAGCCAGTTCCTTTGTGGCTCTGGATGATAGGTTGACCTCTAGAAAATTTCACAACTATGGAGGAAGCAAGAGGGTCTGTGTCTTAGTGAGGGGTTCTACTGCTGTGACGAAACACCATGACCAAAAGCAAGTTGGGGAGGAAAGGGTTTATTTGGCTTACACTTCCAGGTAACAGTCTGTCACTGAAGGAAGTCAGGACAGGAACTCAATTGTCAGGAACTTGGAGGCAGGAGCTGATGCAGAGGCCATGGTGGGGGTAAGAGGGGGATGCTCCTCCTGGCTTGCTCAGTCTGCTTTCTCATAGAACCCAGGTCCACCAGCCCAGGGATGGCACCACCCACAGTGAGCTGAGCCCACAACGCTCTACAGCCTAAGCTTACAGAGGCGTTTTCTCAATTGAGGTCCCCTCCTTTCCGATGACTCCAGCTTCTGTCACACTGACATAAAACTGGTCTGCAGGGTCTGTTCACCAATCCGGGAAGAGAGGGTCTGCCTGAGAGGCTGCGAGGATTGGGCCTGCTGACTGAAGCAAGAGGCAGTGGCTGAAGCAGTCCAAAGAGGCTGCACGGTGGGGACGTGAGGTCCAGTGTCTGGGTCCCAGCACCTAGAGTTTTAGTCATGACCCCTTGAGATGTAAGTGATGAGCGAGGAAAGGAATTTGACATCACTCTCCGACCCAAATCCACCCAAGGGCCAGTGCCTGAAGACTCCAAGCTCAAGCTTAGGGACAAGGAGAGAGAGAAGACAACTAGAGAGATGGCCAGCATCTGTAGGGCATCTCTTTCTCTGCGCTCCCTAACCTTGTGAGCTGTCTTCCACAAACACTGCTGCATAGAGAGGTAAGGAACACAGAGGCTCAAGTCGCTAACCTGCTCCTGTTTAGGGAAGAGGCTCTCTACAAGTGAGACTCAATCATCCATTTCAGTGTAAAGTCTTCTGCGTAAAGGGTCCGGATGCTGGCTCTGTCCTTAAGGCGTGTCAGAGACTGTTGCTCTCCTAAGGGCCATGCCATGGATGCTACTTCTTTACACATGGCACGTTCCCGGTGAGGAAGCAGTGGGCCTGCCACCTTTTTCAGTGGCACCTATTGCCTGTACTTGCTCTCCAGAAGCTGCCAAAGTACCGGGGAAAATACTGTCAGAGATTGCAATGGCCCTGCGTGCCAACTCTTCAACTGGATTAATAATCCAGGCATTCACATGGTGAAACCGCATAAGCTGTGTGAAGCGGTGTATTAGTTGTCCCAGCTACTCTAGAGACTGAGGCAGAGGGATACCCCTCTGGGGGACACAGCAAGCCCTATTCACAGAGACACATTGATCCATTTCATTTCTGAAATGTTTTGAGCTACTTCATATTCAAAATCTCATGTTGTTTATCAATATACTGATTCCAGCCTGGGACCCCCTAGGAGTGACTAGGACAGACCTCGGGAAACCCCTCTACCCTCTTGGTTCCCAGTTCCCCCTCTCAGGTCTACTCATTGTATCTTTTCCAAGCCCATGTCATTCCCATCAACAGTTCAGTAAAGCCTCATGCAAGATCAGCAACGTGTGGGGTGCAGGCTAGACCACAAGAGATATTTTGTGCAGTGTCCTGGAATAGGATTAAAATCCACAGGGAGTGGGTAAGTGGGACTGTCTGCCTTTTCTAAAGAACCTGACCTGTGAGGTAACTATCCTGCCCTACCCAAGGCTGGCCTTTCGGCTCAGCCCTTTGCAGAATTAAGGCAAAGTGCGTGTTGACGAGGAGAGCCCTTTGGGGGTAGTATGATCAACACTGCCAGCCTGGGCAACGGTCCTGCAGATTGGCTGGTTGATTCCTGTTAGTGTCATACATGGCTTTAATAGGTTTCCTATGGGTCAGTTAGCAACATACGTGTTGAATGTGACAAAATTTTCAGCACATCATTTGATTCAGTTTGCTAGTTTTTCATATTTATGGAGTGGTGGGGGCAGTTTAGCCAAGGTCTTGTTAGACAGTCCAAGCTGGCCTCAACTCACAGCAATCCCCCTGTCTCAGCTTCCCAAGTGCTGGGATTACAACCGTGGAACACCATGCGCAGCTCACATTTATGTTCTTAAGAGAGATTGGTTCTGATGTTCCTTTTCTTGTGTTCTCATTTGGCTGAGAGTCAAGGTCATACCTGCTTCGCAGAATAAGTCTGCCAGCCTTCTACCCTCCTGCCCTCTTTTGTAATTCTTTGACATGAACTGATGTTTGTAATGGGCTTTGGGTTTTATAAAATACACTTCTTGGCAGGCGACTCGGCACAAACAAGGTGAACACTTCTTTTCCTTGCTTGTAGTCTGTGTTGATTTATCTATCTATCTATCTATCTATCTATATGTATTTATTTATTTATTTATTTATTTTTATGTATGGCACTTTTAACGTTTCTAAAACTGTTCTGCTGGGAGCCGGCCACTTCCCTGAGGAAGTCCTGAAGACAGCAAGAGAGTCTCCAGGGACAGAGTAGTTACGCTGAGGGAGAAACACAGACCTAAGCCCATACCCAGCACCCACTGAGCCACCCCAGGGTCCCTGGGACAAACTCCATTGACACCCCCCCCCCTTACAGGCACCATGTTCCGAAAGAAAAAGAAGAAACGCCCTGAGATATCAGCCCCTCAGAACTTCCAGCACCGTGTCCACACCTCCTTTGACCCCAAGGAAGGCAAGTTCGTGGGCCTCCCCCCACAATGGCAGAACATCCTGGACACCTTGAGGAGGCCCAAGCCTGTGGTGGATCCTTCTCGAATCACACGGGTGCAGCTGCAGCCTATGAAGGTAAGAGGACGGGCTTATAGCCATGGTTGGCCTCTCCAACGCCACAGGAAGCTATCTGTGAAACCCCAGCGGCACCCAGAGGGGCCACTTGGGTATCAGAACCGAGCCTGCCATATGAGTCTTTTGCTACCTCAGTCCTACTAATCAGCCTTTCTACATGGGAAGAATTTTGAGCCAGGCATGGTGGCTTTTGACTGTAAGCCCAGGGCTTGACAGACTGAGGCAGTCATATCGCAATGTGTTGGAGGCCAGCCTGAGCTGTCTTGAAAAAACACCTCCAACCCGCCAAAATTAACTAATTTGAATTTCGGTTAACACCAATCTTTACGGATGTCTCACCCACCATTTAGACCTGTGGCCCCAGAGGAGTTGCGGCTGTCACAGATCAGACTTCACATGGGAGATTGAGAGGTTGGGTAGGAGTTGAGGGTCAGGAGTCATGTTGTAGGGTGGAATGTAGGGGAGCAGGGAGGCCCCGGAACTGGTTTTCTCAGGCATCTCCCTGAAGACCATGGGAAGAGCTAGAAGCCTGAAGCGCCTGTCCTGAGTTCCCCAGCTTCCCAGGCGCTCCTCCGGTCACCCACTTTTCATGCGGGACCGACCCATGGCTGCCTATCTGTCCTGCTGACAAGGGCTTTCTCCCTGCATCCGTGTAGGCTACCCAGCATGGGCCTCACCCACTGTGGACACAGGCAAATGTCTGGACACCTAACGGATGGGTGGGCGACAAAGGAGGTGTGTGGGTAGGCGTTCCTCCCCAGGGCCCTCAGGGAGGCTCTGAGCTACCCTCTGCCCTGAAGAGAGCTGTTTCTCCACACTCTTTTGTCTTCCTTTCGTAGACGGTGGTGCGGGGCAGCTCAGTGCCCACGGAGGGCTACATCTCAGGGCTGCTCAACGACATCCAGAAGTTGTCGGCTATCAGCTCCAATACCCTGCGCGGACGCAGCCCCACTAGCCGGCGGCGGGCACAGTCCCTGGGGCTGCTAGGGGAGGAGCAATGGGCCGCTGACCCGGATATGTACCTTCAGAGTCCTCAGTCTGAGCGCACGGATCCCCATGGCCTCTACCTCAGCTGCAATGGGGGCACACCAGCAGGTCACAGGCAGATGCCGTGGCTGGAGCCACAGAGCCCACAGGCCCTGCCCAATGGGCTGGCTGCCAAGGCACAGTCTTTGGGCCCTGCTGAGTTCCAGGGTGCCTCGCAGCGCTGCCTGCAGCTGGGTGCTTGCCTACAGAGTTCCCCACCCGGCACCTCACCCCCTATGGCCACAGGGAGGCGTGGGGTGAAGGCTGCCAAACATAGCTCAGAAGAGGTGCGGCCACAGTCCTGCCTGGTGGGCTCAGCCATTGGCAGGCCAGGTGGAGAGGGCAGCCCTAGCTCGAAGAACCAGGAAAGCAGCCTCAAGCACCGGCTCTTCCGAAGCATGTTCCTGTCCACTCCTGCCGCAGGCACTGCAAGCAGCAGCAAGCCGGTCCCTCTGCCACAGAACAAGGTATATCACCTGGCTCTTCCTCCCGGGGTCACTCTAAGGAGGACAAGTAAGCACACCTAGCTGACATCTGTAGGGCGCACACCTAGCTGACATCTGTAGGGCAGTAAGTACTAGAGATGCCAAGCCTGCCTGACCCTCCCTACTTACTGGGTCAGGACAAGAACGTGGGAAATCAAACTGACCAGCTAACCAGTGTGGTCTCGGCTAACGACCGTAGATAGCCTGAACTCACCATCTGAGCCCATGTCTTCCGAAGGCTTGACACGTGTGAGCCACAGGCTGTAAGCTGAGTTGTTCCAGGTGGAGGGCAAACCTCTGTGGCTGACAGTTCAGTCCACCGGGAGGCCCCTCCTTTGAAACCACCTTTAACCAGAAGCTCAGGGCAGAACCTCAAGACCCAGACAGGGATGTGCACCCTGGTCTGGAGAGGGAAGGGTCTCTCCACCTTCCTCTTTTGGGGGTACTTCTGGAGAAGCCCCCTACTTTCTTGAGGACTGCAGGGGGGTTCTGGATATAGCCGCCTACAGTGACCACCCCTTCCTCCTTTCCCTGTTCTCCCATCGTTACTTCTTCAATGTGTTACTGGAAGACCAAAGGGTCAGAGGAGCATCAGGTTCCCAGAGGAGCATCAGGTTCCAGTTTCACGTCTGCCCCTCCTTAGCTTTTCAATGTCCCTGGAGGGGCACAACTTGCCAGAGGGCATGTGCTATGAGAATCCAGGAGACTGACTTTGCCCTCGAACTTGGACTATCCCAGGACAGGGCACTTCTTTCCGGAGACAAAGGAAAAGAGGGGAGGGCGTCTTGGTGGTGGCATTCCTAGACAGGCAGACCAGTGCATTTCTGCTTCTCATCTGCCCCTCTGCAGTGACCGTAGCACTCTTTCCCATCCGACAGGTGATGACCTACTCAGAGTGAGCTCGTACTAGGACCTCCAGTGAGACAGAGAAGCAAGCAGGGCAGGTACTCAGAGCTGGCGTCCTGTCTCGGGCCTTCCGGGCTCCCGGATCTTGTGTACAGAGCTTTGTAATCATGGTGGATAGTTATCATCTAACTCTTGAAAGACAGGTCGCACATGACGGTTTTAAGCCATCCCTAAGAAACAGACGCTGATAGCAAACAGAGAGGGCTTTGAGAGCAAGCTGTACCCTCTGCTGTGGGGATGCTGATAGTGGTCTAGCCTGAACTACAGGGTAGCCTGAACCTACAAGCGCTTCAGGTCACTGCCAGCTAAGGCACCAGGGAAGCTTCATGGCTTCATGCACTCCTGTCCTTCATGGGTCTGTGAGCTTAGGAGTCTCTGGAAGGCTGTGAACTTGGGAGACATCCTCCACTAAACTAAGGTGCGGCAGGGCAAGGCATAGCACTAGGGAAGTGAGGGTCAGCTGATCCCCCGTGTCTCCTTGGGTAGGCTGCAGGGGTCTGGAGGAAAAGGGCACTAATACTGAGGTTGGCACTGCCTTCATCTGTTTGAACTGCCAGTCACCACACCGTCCATCCCCACTCACTACTGAGAACCCCCGTGGACCACTATGTGTGCCAGGCCCCACCCACAGTGGAAGCAGTTCGTGGTTGTCCTAGGCTCAGAGACAGCATGGTTCCAAATTCAGAGTAGTTTCCTTTGAGGCATCTCGGCACTCTCCAGATAAGCATTCCCTAGCTGGGGCTCCTGAAGGCACCCATCACTGGGTGGCTGCTAAACCCCCTGCAAAGCCAGGGTCTATGCTGGGGAGCCAGTCCCCAAAGCCTGGAAGTGGGAACCTAGAGCTGGAAAGCCTTTGGCAGGACCTAGATTTGGGGTGCCTGAGCAAGCAACCCAAAATAACGATTCCAGGAGATTCTCTTCGGTGAGTCAGAGCCGTGGCCACTGCAAAGCTAGTAACTGTTGAGGCATCTGTCTCTGTGATGGACATGGGACACCCTAAGCAGCCCCCTGTGGAACTCCCAGATGGTCCCTCTCCTCATATTTAAAAACCAAGATCCTGGAAGGGGTGGTGAGAGGTGGGCTCCTTCTACTCCGGTGCTGGTAGCAAGGCTTGAACTCAGGGATGGGCTGTCCCTCCTCTGCCTCGCCCCCCACCGAGACTGTGAGACTAGCTCCCCACTTCCTTCTCCAAGGATTCCTTAGCCAAGAGCCTCCTAGATATACAGCCTTCGTGCTGTCGGTGCAAGCAGGGCTGCCTGAGCCCAGCCATGGCTTCTTCCCGGTGTTGGTTCTGGGAGCCAGTCACAGCTACCCACTGCCCCCTTTTAGGGTCTTTTCCACTCACATCAGGGGCCTCAGACCCAATTCCTCAGAGAACTCTGTCTCACAACGGCCTTCCCGAGGCCTGCTGGTCAGTAGCCCAGGAAGAAATACCCAGCCTGAGGCCACCCCAGGACTCACTGGAGTCCTTCCTGGAGCAGTAGAGAGTAGAGTGTACAAAGAGATGTTCTTCGGCCTGTCACCTGGGAGCATGGGGGTCGCGGGATGCATCTGTCGGTCTGGTTAGACCTGGCTTCATGTTTTTACTTCCTTAATTAATTTAGAAGCCCCTGCTAGTGTCCAGGGCACAGTTGCCAACCCTTCCTCCAGGAACATCTAATGTTCCCTGACTTTCCTTGTCTTTGCAGCTCAACTCTGCTTTCCGACCGCCACAAAAAGATTCCTCCTCAAACCTGGTGGCCAAGGCCCAGTCCTTACCCTCAGACCAGCCTATGGGGACCTTCAGTCCTCTGACCACCTCGGATACCAGCAGCCCCCAGAAGTCCCTCCGCACAGTCCCAGTCGCCGGCCCACTTCCAGGCCGGTCTTCTCCAGCAGGCTCCCCCCGCACGCGGCATGCTCAGATCAGCACCAGCAACCTATACCTGCCCCAGGACCCCACCGTGGCCAAGGGGGCCCTGGCTGGCGAGGACACGGGCATTGTGACACATGAGCAGTTCAAGGCTGCACTCAGGATGGTGGTGGACCAGGGTGACCCCCGGCTGCTGCTGGACAGCTATGTGAAGATTGGGGAGGGCTCCACGGGCATTGTGTGTCTGGCCCGGGAGAAGCATTCGGGTCGCCAGGTGGCCGTCAAGATGATGGACCTCAGAAAGCAGCAACGCAGGGAGCTGCTCTTTAATGAGGTGGGGACCAGGTGGGGCGTCAGCAGGGCAGTGAGTGTGTGGTGAAGCTGGGCATCTGGGAGCAGTGTGGCAGGATGGCGGGGTGGGCTGACCGTGGGGCGCTGTGCTAGGCACTCAGGCCTTTCTGTACCCTCAGGTGGTGATTATGCGCGACTACCAGCACCTCAACGTGGTGGAGATGTACAAGAGTTACTTGGTAGGCGAGGAGCTGTGGGTGCTGATGGAGTTCCTGCAGGGCGGGGCCCTCACAGACATCATCTCCCAAGTCAGGTGGGCAGTTGAAAGGGCTGGACTGGGGGAGGACTATCCCACCGCTGCCTTGGCATGGCAACCAGCTGCTTCTGGCCCATAGAGCTAGCATCTTAGACTCTTGCCTATTTGGGGGGTAACCGAAACTCAGTGATCTTAGAAAAAAATGGGTACAACCTGCTGAAGTCTGCTGCTTGGGAACTATGGGCCCCTTTGCCTGGGACTCCTTTCTTCTCAGCCCAGCCACCCTGATAACACAGCTCTCCCACGGGGGGCCTGTCTTCCCTGTCCAGGCTGAATGAGGAGCAGATTGCTACTGTGTGTGAGGCTGTGCTTCAGGCCTTGGCTTACCTGCACGCCCAGGGTGTCATCCACCGAGACATCAAGAGTGATTCCATCCTGCTGACCCTCGACGGCAGGGTAGGTCCTCCCTCCCTCTCCATGGTTCAGCTGACCCCCATCCTCTCTCGCACCCCCTCTTCCTGATCTCTACCCACTTCCTTTTCAACTCCCAGGTAAAGCTCTCAGACTTTGGATTCTGTGCTCAGATCAGCAAAGATGTCCCCAAGAGAAAGTCCCTGGTAGGAACCCCATACTGGATGGCTCCTGAAGTGATCTCCAGATCTCTGTATGCTACCGAGGTAACTGTTTCCCCACCTCCAGGCCTCCCTGGAGAAGCTTAGGAACATGTAACTCCTCTGTCTTGTCCCTGTTAAGTGGTCCCACCACCAATAACCCCAGTTCTGAGGTTCCTCATTTAATCAGTATCCTTTTTGAGATAGGGTCTCTCCACGTAGCCTTGGATTTCCTGGGACTCACTTGGTAGACCAGACTGGCCTTGAACTCATAGAGTTCATACCCCTGCCCCTGCTTTCCAAGTGCTGGGCTTAAAGGCTCTCACCACCACAGTCAGTCTTTCCTGGACTTCACTGCCAGGAGCAGGCCCTGCCACACACTGTTCTCAAGGGCACAGTAGTGTATAGCCAGTGTTTTCCATGAGGGATGGCATCTGTGGTCACTGGGCACTCATACAGAAGGGAACTGACCACAGGGCAACTGACCAGGGGTTGAAGGAGGCAGGCTCACTAAGGAGACAAGATGCTCCTTCAACACACTGACACCAAGAGTCGGGGCTCTTATCCTGCAGGTGGATATCTGGTCTCTGGGCATCATGGTGATTGAGATGGTGGACGGAGAGCCTCCCTACTTCAGCGACTCCCCAGTGCAAGCCATGAAGAGGCTCCGGGACAACCCCCCACCCAAGTTAAAGAACTCTTATAAGGTCAGTTATCATATAGGGTGTGAGTCCCCCAACCCCATCCCCCAAGCCCTTTGCTCCTGAGATAAGGGATGGGAACACAGGCCCCAGGAAAGCAGAAGGATGCAGGCTTTCGGTCCTTTTCCACATCAAACCTGTGCTGGCTACAAAGCCACATTTACATACAAACTCCCATGTTCACTCCAGCCAGTTCCCGAACCTGTAGCTGCGGGAATCACTTCTCGGCAGGCTCTGGACAGGAGCCCGCCCATTCCTATGAGGAGAAAGAGTGAGGACCCCAGGACTCCCAGCTGTCTGTCTCCCACAATACAAATCCTTCCACCTTTCTCTCAGGGGTTCCAAACCCAACACAGTGCCGTCACATGAATGGGCCTGTCCTGTTGTATGACACATCCTGACCATAGCTGAGCCACAGCTTTCCCCCTAGAACCAGTATATATACTTATTATAATTAACTCTCCCCTGCCAAATCCATCCCCTGCTAACAGACTGGCACAGGACGGCTGAGTGGTACTGCCACCTGGTGGCCAAAGCAAAAAATGTGCCAGAGGATTGAAGTGTAGTCTCTAAATGGCTCCAAGACAGATGGCCTGCCCAGCTAAGCCTGAGAGGAGCGGGGGCCAGAAGAGCGCTCATCAGTGAATTGCCCCAAGGTGGCAGCCTTCCGTAGCATCCTGAGGCGGCCTCATAGATCTGGAACTGGATCGCTGATGCCAGTTCCATGCCCCTTTCACAGAGCCGCAGAACCCGAGTGCCAAGAGCCCCCAGAAGCAGGCAGGGGTAATGGGCTGTGTTTGGAACCCAGCTCCCCAGAGTTCCAGATATCCTCACTCCATTGCTCTGCAGCCCTCATGTCAGGTGAATTGGCCTCCTTTTCCTACCTCATACTCCAACAGTCAGTGAGCCCGGAGGAACCAGGATGTAAGAAACCAGAGAAAATGAGGTATCCGAGTGGGAGCCCCCCCGCATTCAAACTGCAGGAGTCAGGCTGCAAGGGACATAACTGTGAGCCATGGCTCCCTCTCAACACTCTGCTTCACAGGTCTCCCCAGTGCTGCGAGACTTCCTGGAGCGGATGCTGGTACGGGAACCCCAAGAGAGAGCCACGGCCCAGGAGCTCCTGGATCACCCCTTTCTGCTGCAGACAGGGCTGCCTGAGTGTCTGGTGCCTCTGATACAGCTCTACCGCAAGCAGACCTCCACCTGCTGAGTTCACACCCAGGGTGTGCCTGCCGCCTGTGCCCACAGGTCAAGGACACTGGGCAGCCAGTCCACTGGCAGGGCCTACCTGCCTTGTTCTCTCAGTATTCTCTCCAAAGATTGAATGTGAAGCTCCACCCCTTCCCTCTTGCCCTTTAGCCCACTGGGCCAGGCCGGACCTGCCCCCCTCAATCTCACTCCCCAGAGTCCCAGTTGCCTTTGGGATGACAGTGACCCCCTTTTGCAGGTTTGGCCCTTTGCTATTTGCACAGGGATGTTTCTAAGAAACGTGGAGAGTGGTGCTCCTGGCCACCGGTCAGCAAAGCTGACAGGCCGCTGCAGATTTTAAAAAGCAGTGTCCACTAGTGTTCCGGGCCACCAAGTGGGTGTGTGCCCCATCTTCACACGGACACTTGCTATTCTCAGTTACAGCTTCAAACCCTGGAGTCCCAGAGGGCCACGGGGAAGAATTTTATTACCTGAGTCCTTCTTCCTCCCTGGGTCTGACTTCTGGAAGCCCTACTTGCCCCCTGTTTCCGTCTGTCCCCCTGGCATAACCTCTCCCCGGAAGGCCTCCACAGAACTGTGAATTGCCTGTGTGTAGACCATGGGAGTAGCAAGGGGATCTTCTGAGAGAGTGTGCAGCTGATGGTAAAAGTGGCTCCATTTTTCAGGATGGAGAGAACATATTCTCATTCTCTCTCTCTCTCTCTCTCTCTCTCTCTCTTTTCCCTGTGTGTGTGTGTGTGTGTGTGTGTGTGTGTAGTCCCCCCAAGGCTCAGGCCTTTCCAGTTACCCACAGAGAGCTTCAGAAGAGCTGCACCCCCCATCCCCCCCAGTCTTCTTTTCTACCAAGCTCTACTTTGAAGGGACCTGCTTTGAGGGCCTGGCTTTCTGCCTCTCAAGTTTCATGTTATTACCTGAACAGTGAAGGGGTGTGTGTATGTCAAGTCTAACACATGCTGGGGACCCCTGAAGTTTCTGAGTTTCTCCCATACTGAGACAGGAATTGCATTACCTGCCAGCAACTTCTCAGTAGCCAGATCATCAGGGGGACCCTCTTTGGAACCCTGGGCTGGGACAGAAAGGTGAACCACCTCCTGGGGGAGGTGGGGCTCATGTCAAGGAATGAGTATCTCTGTGTGTGAACCAGCTGCCCCTGCAGATGCTTACCTGCCCCCTTGTCCCCCCTCCCTTCCCACCTTCCTGGCTGTTGTGAGACAGGAAATGCCAAGGAAGAACTCCACTGTCTGGACCCCATCCAGATAATATTTTTAGATTCCTCTGCTCCCTGATGACCTGCATTAGGGCAAAGAAATTGCAAGGTCTTTTTTTTAAGGGTCAGAGTTTTAAAAACAAAAGCATCTTCCCCTAGAAATTTTTGTGAATTGTTTGCAACTTGTGCCTGTTTTAAATTAAACTGAATGTTCGAACCTCTGGGTTTGCCATTCTCTGGGACTGGAGCCAGGCTTTCTTGGAGCTGGATGCCCTTGGAATGGATGCCTGGTGGGCTCCTTCATGGTCACTTGAGTCCACAGAACACCCAGCTTCTCTGGTGACTTGTACACCTAGAATGGGGGCAGAGGAGGGAGGAAACAGGAAGTGAAAGGCCCTAGGAACGAAAGCAAAGGTGTGAGGAGGTTCTGGCCAGGGCCGAACCTTTCAACTTTGGCTTCTCTCCTTATCTGGTTCTCAGGCTGCCCATGGAAAGTCCCCTGGAACTTCTATCTGGGAGAAAGCAGATCCGTTCATCTCTTAAAACCGACAGAATAATTTCAAAATTTCAAAAGAGCAGTCAAGTGGCCAGAAACCCAGAAACTTGGGTTTCAGACCTGGGCTTGGGAGGTGGGTAAAATGACCTTTTTTTTTTTTTTTTTTAGTTTTTGTTGTTGTTGTTGTTTTTTCGAGACAGGGTTTCTCTGTAGCTTTGGAGCTTGTCTTGGAACTAGGTCTTGTAGACCAAGCTGACCCCAAACTCACAGAGATCCGCCTGCCTCTGCTTCCTGAGTGCTGGGAGTAAAATTACCTTTTAACTTCTAGCTCTGGCAGTAATTCCAATCTTCCTTTTCTGAGCTCTACACCCAACGCAATTGCTCACTGAAGCCACTTAACTGGACCGAGGAGCCATGCTCAGGCCCCAACCCCAGCCCCAGCCCCACGGGTTCAGCAAGAAGCAGCTCCTGCAGTTCTCAATCTCGGGGCTCTAGCTGTAGAATGGCCAGGGTCAGGTGCTGACGATGAAGGCAGGAACTACCTCCAAATCAAACGTGTGCTCCCATCTTTTCAAAGGAAGCCAAGAGGCAGGAGTGAGCAGGAAGGCAAAGAGAGGCTGGTTCTCCGAACGGAATACCACTGGGTTTATTAGCTGCTCTTCCTCCCACTCGTCCTCTCCAAACTCATGTGCCAATGCCCTTCAGCCTTCCCCACCAACCAGTACTGAGTGTCAGTGGCCTGGGTGTCTCTTCGCAAGGAGGACAATAACACGAAAAGCAGAATACACAGCAAAGTCTTTTCTACAGCAGGAGGGGACGGGGGGGGGGAGGGGGGAACGGGACTGGAGCCTCAGTGTGGCACTGGAGCCCTGACAGAGGAAGTCTGGGGGGAGTGAAGTGTGCAGGAGCTCTCCATGGAGCCTGTACAGACGGCAAGTCCCACATCTCAGTTCAGACGGGCAAGACCTGCTGCAGTGTTCCAAAAACATTTCCAACCACCGTGCTTCCAGGCACTCCACAGACCACAGACTGGAGCGGTTGTTTACCCAACAGGGATGTGCCAAGGTGACATTCCCCCAGAATACCACATCAGCAGTACCGAAAAGATGACAGCACTCCTGACACACAACGTGAGAGCCAAGCTTCAGGGTGCTTGAAGCCAAAATATTTGTATTCTTACGCCATTAAAAACGTCGTTAACATTAAACACAGCTGAAAGTGGAATGTGAGCAAGGAAGGGTCAGAGAGAAAGCCGTGTTCATTGGAATGTCCCTGCTCTGACCTCTGGCTTTTCAAACGTGGTACTCGGACTCTTGGGAGACTGAGGAGAGGCAGGTGTGTGTGCTTGGGGGGCGGTGAGGAGTTGTCGCGCGCGCGCGCGCGCGCGTGTGTGTGTGTGTGTGTGTGTGTGTGTGTGTGTGTGTTGGAGTGGCAGATCCATCCCTACAGAAGGGAAAGCAGTTGTCGTAAGAAAACAACCCACATGGTCAGGTCAAGGCTCAGAAGCCAAAGGGGTTGGTAGCTCCAGCTGTTCTAAAGATAGCAGGAGCTCTCTCCAAAGTAGCCTTAGCTTGGAGAATGGCTTGGGGTTCTTGGTGAGGTTCTGGGCACTCTTTACAACCAGTGCTGACTTTCCTTGTACACTGTTTCTCACTTCATTGAAGTGAAGTGACTTCAAGTATCCGGATTTAATATTCTACAAGAGGAACACGTTTCGTGGGTAAAATGCACAAGGAGGGAGAAGCTACACATCGATGATCTCCCTTTAAAGCCAAGTCTGAGTTCCCTGGTCTCAGCGAGGAGAGCGCAGAGGTGCCACCAGGGGGCAGCAAGGATCACCGTCCGAAGTGTGGGCTGGCGCGCGGCCTGGGATATAGGCTAGCGAGGCAAGGAACTGGGGCTCTGCAATAGCAGACTTCCTACCCCTAAACCGCAGGACCGGCTTCTCAGCACCAGCGGTCTCCCTCTGAGCAGCTCCCTCAGAGTTACTGGTGAGAAACCCTCCCACAAAGACAACAGATCAACGCCTTAAAAAGACTTTATCGTAGGCAGGTGAGGGGCTGCATGCTCACTCTTCCGGGTTCACGAACAGAAATCCGAGGTACAGTCATGACCAGAAAACTTTCACTGCCTTGAAGCAGGAGTTTTCGCCACACCCTGCTGGTACAGATCTCCCACAAGGAGCTAACACTGACGTTGGGTCGTAGAGCAGGCGACCTGTCAAACCCCTCTCTTCGCTGCCTGTCGAGGCTGTACAGAGTTGGCGGGCAGGGGCGGAGGGGGAGAGGACAAAAGACTTGGCGGGGAGGGGGCCTAACTACCTCTTCACAGTTGCTTCTGACTCACTAATCTGCCCAGTAATAAAAGCTGGAAGCTGGGCTGGGCCTGCATCCCACGCGGTGGGGCACAGGCAGGGGTCCTTGGTCTCCATCTAGCATCCATCATCTGCCCTGCCCTCCATTAACAGCCCAGCAAGAAGCAGGAGACGTTTAGCAGCCCCCTCCTAGGCTCTCTCCGAGTTTGATGTAATTTAGATCCGGACCTGCGGTTCGTGTGGGCTCCCGACTCCCGCGCGCCGCCGCTTAACGTTGCAAACACTCCAGTCAATTATCCCCCTCGCGGAGGTGCTATTTAAAGAGACATTGTCAGGTTCTTAAGCCTCGGATCAGACCTGCTGCTTTCTGCCTCATACACAAAGGCTCAAAACACGAGTTCTTTTGAGGGTTGGAAGAAATACAATTAAGCAAATCCTTCCTAACTGTTTCACCCTCCTGGAGCACCCACGTGCAGAATGGGGGAGCTGGGAGGAGGAGGTGGGACGCTAAGTCCTTTCCATTTCAGGCCTCTGGGACTAAGTGGAAATATAAGTAGAGCTGGACCCGGATGAGTGAGGCATTGAACCTCAAAAATGAAATTCGAATGCAATCATGCTGAGGGGTCAAGCTGCCCAGGAGCCAAGAGTCAGCAGGGGCTTGGAGAAACAATGACCCTATAATAGAAATGAAGTTGAACCCTGGGTCTGACTGAGACAGTCAGAGAAAGCTTAGTCCCAGAAGAGACAACTGGTGAACAACATGGTACAAAGCCCCAAAATATCCTCGTTGCCTTGAAGGAGGAGCTTCTACCCCAGAAAACCTTAACCACTGGATTCCTTCACAATCAGTCTTCTGATCCAAAAAGCGGGGCCACTTGAAGCCTTCCTTCCTCCGACACTTACAGCGAAGGGAAACTTTGGTAGTTTATCCAACTATTATGGTCAACATCAGTAGGCACCGCCGGCTGGGCCTTTGTTCTCCAAAGCCACCTCTGTTGCTGCCTGGCTACCAAAGTGACGGGGGAGTTAGAAATAAACAGGGGATCTTACAGGACCCAAAGCAGTGCCTAGCCGGCTGAGCCTCGGGGGTCTACTTTTCCGGCTAGAAAGCTGAAGCCTACAGAATAAGCCTTTCGCGCCTCTTTTTTCCCCAGGACAAGAGAGCCAGGCTGTAGGAAGGTTGAGAGTTCTACACAGTGAATACCAAAGAGCACAAAAAGATGAGATCTCTGTCTTAAATCTGGTGGAGGTCTCCTTTTAGCAGTGAGGGGACAAGGTTGGGAGGAGGGCAAATCGCAGAGAAAGGAACAGACTTGGAGGAAAGGGACATCTCAGTGACCAGAGACACTAGGGTGGACTTTGCAGGGCTCGACCTTCATGCCCCTTACCGCTGAGCCTGCAATACCACAGCCTCTGTGCCCGCCTGCCAAGGCTTTGGCCCAGGCACTGAGAAAGGCTGAGCGTTGGTCTCTAATTCCGAGCCACTCTCGGGCCCTGAAGCCTCCCCGACCAGGCTGGGGATGTCTGGGGCTGTGGACCGTCGCCTCAAACCCAGGCGGCCAGAGCCTGGGCCACCCTCGGGATGAGGACTAAGGCCGATAGGGGCTTGCACTAAAGTTGGGGGCGCTCCCTTTAGCACCTCCTGTGAGCGCCACCGCCCACTCCCCGAAGACTGGGGTGAGTTTGGTCGGGCCATCAGAGCTCCTGCCCGAAGGCGTGCTGTCTCCTCCTCCGTCATGGTACCCAGCGCTAGGCTCATGCTCCGGCCCAGCTCTGGCCTCTCGCTGCCTTGTGCCCTGTGTCGGCCCGAGCCCTTGCCTGCAGAGGCAAGCTCACCTCCGTGGCCGTGGCCGTGGCCGTGGCCATGACCGTGGCCGCCGGCAGCCCTCGCAAACCGCGCCAAGAGGGGCCTCGGTAGACGACGGGGGCTGGGTCGTCGACGCTCTGGGCTGGGCACCGGGGCAGGACGGCCTGGGGGACTGTCGGAGTTGGAGCCCCGGGCCGCTGCCGCTGCGGCTGCCCGACCCCAAGGCCCGGTGAGGGCTTGCACACAGGTCCCGTGACCGCGGGAGGCGGCCAGCTGCAGCGCTGTGAGGCCAGCACGGTTGGTGCGGTCAAGGCGCAAGCCCAGGCGGCGGAAAGAGCGCACCAGGAACTCCAGCACCGCCCCGTGGCCGCACGCCGCCGCCCACATCACCGGGCTGTTGCCCGCCGAGTCCGCTGCCTCCGGATCGCCGCTGAACTGCACCAGCAGCTGCACAGCGTCCAGGTGGCCTCGCTCGCAGGCCAGGCTGAGTGCAGTGCGGCCGCGCTCGTCCCGCAGGTTCACGGCCGCACCCTGCTCCAGCAGCAGGCGCACGAAGCGCGAGCGCATGGCGGGGTCCGGCAGCCCCACCGCCACCATGAGTGGCGTACGGCCCTGCTCCGCACGGCAGTCGATGATGCTGCGGTCCAGCGCGTCCAGCACGAAACGGGCCAAGTGCACTTTGCCCGCCTGCATGGCCTCAAGGAAGGTGCGCGTACCCGCCCGGGGGCATAGGTCCTTGGGCTTGAGCATGGCTCCGGCGACCGTGTCCGGGAAGTTCGACAGCTCCGCACGGGGGCGCCCCTGTTCCCTCACCCCCACGGGGCTCCGGCCCCGGCCCGGACACCCGTACCGCTCTTTCCGCGCGTAGGTGGCAGCAGCCGAGGGTCCTGAGGTTCCCCCTCCGGTCTCCCCGATGCTCCCGCTGCCTCGCAGCTCCCTGTTCGTCTTGCGCTCCTCCCTGGGCCTCCCGCCTGGAGGTGTGAGCTGCTTGCTACTCCCGGCTCCCGCTCAAGCTCGACCTCCTCAACCCTCGGTCCGTTTTCCCGGTGTCCGACGCCCCTCGGTCCCCCGTGGCGGCTTGGAGCAGCGCCACTCACCCGCACCCCGGGCAGCCCCGGCTCCCCTGCTGAGCGGGTAGCTCCCGCCTGGCGCGCCTGCCTCCTGCCTCGGCGGGGAGCGCCGCTCCTCAAGCTCTCGGAGCCTCTCCCCGCCTCCTCCCCTCTTGCGGGGGCCGGGACGCTTGCTTTTTCACTTGGGGGGCTCAGAGGCTCGTGAGGTGCCCGACGCCTAGATACCTGGCTTTATAGATTCGGGGGTCTCCATGGCAATGGCTGCCCTGGAAGCGGGATTCGCCGTCAGGACAGGGATGGACAGGGCGAAGGAGACCGCCCCTGACCCCCACCCCTTTGTGGGCCACGAAGTTGGGGAGCGGCTCCTCCTCCGCGCTCCCCTGGGAATGCGGCGGCGGTTGCGGGGCGGGGGCGGAGGCTGCTCGCCGGGGGCCACATGCACCCGGCGGGGCCAATCCTAAAATCGCAGTCTTCTTTCCCCGCCCCCCGCCTCCGCCTGAGTCGGTACCCTCCGCTGCTTAGAAACTGGCGGGAGCTCCTGCCATCCGTTCTAGGTTAAAGGGATTGGGACCCTCATGAGGATAGAACTGGACAATACAAGAGTTTGACTGGGGATGTGGGGGGCAGCAAGAGGCAGAGGAGTAATTTGGGGCACGAGGCATTTGTGCTTCGGACTGAGGGCGCTCAGTCTGGCTGATAATGCCATCCAAAGTGCAGCGAATCAGTCACACACAATTGTGCCTCCCGCACACGCTCACTCAGAGCAGGGCGGGGGTGCGTTCTCCAATCTCAGACGTCTCCAAACCTGACAGTGCTCCCGCATGCCAGTTCCACGGTCTCTGTGGAGCAGGCTGACTAGACACTGGCCGCTGTGACCCAGGGCAGGTGCCTGAGGAAGGACCCGAGAGTATGGAGGCATTAGGACTATCTGGGCACTACCTCCCAGTCCCCTCCAGGACAAGCTATGGTCCAGAAAAGGGCAAAAGACAAAAGCAAGAATTCCCCCACAGGGCTGGTTTTCTTGGACATAACAATCATCTCTAGGCCACTGAACTCTAGCCCTGACCCCTAAAGAAAGGGGTAAGCCTGAGATCCATTTTCAATCAACAGTATAAAACCACTGGATAGCCTCTTCCTTTGGAGAACCAGCTGCTTGACTTTGGGGCGGAGGGAGGGGAGTACTCAGCTGAGATGAGTTACAGTGAGTGCCTCATAACTTCCCAGGTTCAGAGGGCGTGAGGATAGCGGGAATGGAATTTAACTGTAGAGTGACGGGCTAGGGATTTTTGCAGCTGGTAGAGTATTTGTCCAATATACACAAACTTATCGGTTTGATTCCCAGCATTGCATGAAACCAGGTGTGGCACTGCACCTATAACCCCAACACTTGAGAGGGAGAGAGAGGCAGGAGGAGCAGAAGCCCAAGGTCATCCTCGGCTACATGAGACCCCATCTGAGAGAGAGAGAGAGAGAGAGAGAGAAAGAAGGAAGAAAAAAGAAACAGCGAATTACTCAATCAACTACTGAATTTATAGATGTCATGAGCCCATTGTTGTGTTCCCAGCAACAGGAAGTACAAATGCACAAACTGGATCCTGAATGAATGAGATTCGCATTCTCAGTCAGGAAGACAAACCCCAGGATATGACAAGGAGAGGGTGTCACCCAAGGATTGACTACATCTGCCAAATACAAAACTCAGGCAGCCAGCGGAAGGATAGGATGATGGGAAAAAGAGGGATGGGGGGGTCTTCTGAAGACAGCAACTGAGGTGGTTGGTGGTCCTTCAAGGACGAGTGATGTTGGACTGCTAAGTAGTAAGAAGACAGTCCAAACAGAGGGGTTACTGAGACAAGGGCACCAGACAGGGAGAACCACAGAGAACAGTGCTGAGGGTTGTGTTCAGGGGTCCTAAGCTGTAAGGGACAAGAGACTCAGTGAAGGATTGAGGGGTCCCCAGCTTGGGCAGGGCGGGAATATGCTTTGTAGGAGACTCCCAAGGCACAGGATTCTAAGGAGGGCTCGTGCTGCTGGAGAAAGGATAGAAGCCCCCCTCCCCCAGCCCCTGTGCTCCTGTGCTTTCCAGAGCTCCCAACTCCAGGGATGCCCACCATGGGCTAGATCATAGAGCAGGGACTCACACTCTCCTTTGGGGAGCATGTGCGAACTGCACACCTGTGAAGTGAGCCCCCACGCACTTCTTGGCAGGAGAGCTAGGTCTCTCCTGTACTAGCTAGTGTGTCCACACTGTACTAGCAGTGTGTCCCTCCGGGCCTGCAGATCCTCATCTGTAAGAGGAAGTGGAGACTAAGAGCTCAGCTCACTCCACTCAAGACCCGGGAGTCAGTGTTCCAGACAGCACAACATCAGCCGCGGGGTAGAGGGTAGTCAGCCCCATCTACGACCAGGTGATGTTCTCCACTCAGAAAGGGAACAGGGACATCCTCCCTCTTTACCCAGCAGAAGAAAGGCTTTTTAATCCCTTTCGGACTCAGTTTCCCCTGTCTGTGTCATGGAAGAAAACACTTTCTTCCCTTCTGTCCGCCTCAGAGAGAAAGGTTAGGCTGTGTATTACTAGGAGGAGAAAAGCGGCGAAAACCCAGATGAGGGCGTTGGCCAAGTCCTTCCTCCCAGTGGACTAGCTCAGCTTTGTTTATGGCTCTGTCGCCTGTGGCGTGTGTGTGTGGGGGGGGGGCGCGGGGGTTAGTCCATCTAGTCCCCTCAGAGCCTCGCTCTGACTGTGCTGACTTCCCAGAGAGCAGGGATCCCAGGCCTCAGGCCCCACAGCCCCTGCTCTGACTTTCTTCCCTAGGCTCACTGTGTTCTGAACAGAACAGCCACCGCAAAGCTGAGACTTCACTGGAGCACAGAGGCACCGACAGCCGGAATTAGAAGCTGTCGCTTAGGGAGCTGAAGGCTGACAGGAGAAGGAATAGAGCTGGCAGGGGGCAGGCAGGCACTTCACACTCCTCCCCTCCCACCTGCCCAGCTTCTCCTGCAGGCCCCAGGCTGGCAAAAGGGCTTCCTCCCAGAGGTGCCTCAGTCTGCAAGTCTGTCTGTCTGTAACTGCCCCTCCCTGTCCCCTCCTTTCCTCCTCAAGTGTCACCAGCCCCCTCACCCTGTCACATTGCACTAGCTAGTCCTCAGGGTTGAGCCTAGTGGCACGTGCCTGGGAGCTGCGGAGAGCTGGGGGGGGGGTGGTGAAGGGGGTGGGGTGAGTCAGCAGAGGATCTGGTACTGAGTCAGCCATGGGACTGCTAAAGGGTGAGGACCCTTCTCCATGCAGAAGGTAAATGGAAATCATGATGAAGAGGGAACCCGGCCCTGGCCCTATGGTACAACAGGGATGGACCCCAGGTGGCTTTCACCTGCCCAGCACCCAGTGCTCAAGGGAGAGCATCAACTCTTCCTCTGCATGTTCCCCGTGGTCAGAGAATAACTTCTCCCCAGGTCCTCGAGACAGTCCCGGGGGAAAGCAGTCCTTTTGGCATCAGACTGAAAGCAGACAAGTGGGTATCCAGATTGCTTGAGGAGTCATTCAGAGGATGTTTCAGAAGGCAGGAATATACCCCCTTCCCATTCCTGGGCTGCTCAGTTCAGTCCTGGCCTGGCAAGAGAAGAACTGAAGGCGGCTCTTCCTTGTCCTGTGGTTTCATGGGTACTGACTATGGCTGTTGCCCGTGGGCTATGCTGGCTGTGATGGATGGCCACGGACCTGGGTCACTGAGGTCCCCTCAGTCTGGATCCTCACCCCCACAGAGTTCTAACCCCAGGAGGTCGGAAGAAAGGGAAAAAAAATCAGACTTCTGGCAATGAGTTGAGGTCAGGGCATTGCTCTGGGGTGTAGATGCCCCACCCTGGTGGTATACAATATGGCTATGACAGGGAAGCTGGCTGGCAAATGCCAAGCTTTAGCTGTATAAATGAACAGGCTTTAACTTTGCCCTGTAGTCAGGGACTGGTAGGGACCCCTGAGGTCGGGCCCTGAGAGGGATGGGGGAGGATGTCCCTGTTCATTTTCCAAAGGCACAGGTGCTCACAGTTAATGACGTCTGTTGTAACTCTCTGATAAGAAAACAACCTCTTCCCAGAATCACCCCACCCTACCAGTCCCATCTGGGATTTGGGATGGAGCTGTAGGTATTGTGAATGGTGGCCACAAGCCCTGCCTTCAGCAAGAGCTGGAGTCAGCCACAGCACCAGCAGATTCCCCGCTGTGAGCATGTGTTCACTCTTCCTAAAGAGGCCCAGACAACCTAATGGCTTGGGGTGACCAAGAGGATGAGATGCACTTTTGTACTTTTGTACTTATGTCCTGGTGTCTTCTGTTCCGGCCCTGAGAGTAAAGACAAGGAAGGGCCACATCTGTGTGAGAGCAGAGAAGGGGGAAATGACATCATCCTCCAGTGGTTCTGACAGCAGGGCCAGCAGATAGGGAAGCAACTCCTGTATAAAGCCAGAGGCAAGGCCATTTTACAGGGTCCTAGAAGGTTCCCAAGGGATCCACCCCCATTCCCTTTCAAGCAGCTTCATTTCAAAGGCCTTCCACTCCCCTGCCGACTTTTCCTAAGGGAGAACAGAGGCCAGCCTAAGGCAGGAAGTTTCAGGTTAGGGGTCTTTGGTAGGCAGAGGAAGGAGAAAAATAAATAAACTGCATAAATCCAGGAAAGGAAATGATGATGAACCCCTCAAGCAATCCACCTGATAGTGGTGGGGTGCAGGAATGGAAGTGCCAGACCAAGACCCAGAAAAAATGGTGGATCCAGGATCAGAGGTGGGAGAGAGAGCACCCGAGAAGCTAGAGTCTCCTTCGCCACTCCAGGGTTTGAGCAGCTGAGGAGACTTCTCCATGCAGCCACCTGTCACAGGCAGGAAGTGTGAGCAGGGGCTTTTGCCGCCACCCTGGAAGTAGCCACCCCCAGAGAGCTTCGAGGCAGCGCCAGGCTCTGCCTTAAGCAGCTGACAACACTCTGTACTCAGGGCAGGCCCGAGATGTGGCCTAGAAGCCTGTGTAGGGTGCTACATCAAGCCAGGAGGCTTGGATTGGATTCTGCTGGAGCCACAGGCCCAAGAGTAAAGGTTCTAGGGAGTAAGGCCAAGCCTCCAGGAAAGGAAAATGAGCCCCAAGTGGGGAGTGATTGGCTGCACACTAGGAAAGGCAGAGGGGAGACCAGAACCCAATTTCTTCTCTCTTGGTTCATACTCCTTTGCCTTCAATAAGTACATAGCACTATCAGTGGGATGGACAGAGGAAGCCAACTTAGAAAAAGACTTGGGTTCCAAGTGCGCTCCTTGTCCTGATGATCTGTTCTTCCTGCTTTCATCTGGATGAGAAGGGGGCTGCAGCATCCAAGAGAGCCACATGCTCCCATGGCCCCCGAGTATTAATTAGGGTCCTTTTCTTCAAGGGAATAGAACCATGCTTCAGAGAAGGGTGTGGATCTCCTTGCTAAAATGTCTGAGTGAGGAGGTGGCATCAGAGGCGGCTCTCCTGGGTGTCTGCTTTGTTCGTGAGTGGTTCCTGTGGACACAACTCCTTGGAGGCCTCACAGGCCCTCTGAGGCTGGTGCTCTGTTTCAGAGGGGAAGCAGGCCTTGAAGCAGGCCCTCACTGATTCCTTTACTTCAGTCTCCAGGCCCTTCATCCTGGCCTCGTACTCGGCCAGCGCCTTTTCCTGGAACTGAAGAAACAGTAGGGGCCACTACCTGGGTCAGGAAGGGGTCTTGTCCATCCCTCCCCCAACCCTATGGAATACTACGATGCCTAGTCTACTCAGAGCTCCCAAGAGATTAGAGAAGATGGGAGTAGTGAAGCCCATCAGAGAACCTCCCAGGTCTCAAGCAAAGAAACCCATAGAGATGTCTCATTTGAAAGGGCCTCGGGACACCCATGAGAACCTGCCTGGTCAGATGTGATGGTCCCCTTCCCTGACCTCTTGCCCAGAGCCACTGGGGTTCAGCACCACTGGGGCCAGGAGAGAGATCCTTCTCACCTGCTTTTCCAGCTCCCGGATCTGCTCCAGGCAGGCCGTCTGCTTCCCTTCCAGCTTCTCCTGGTGCCGCTCCAGGGTCTCTGTCATCTGGGTAGGGGTGAAAGGTTAGGTTGGAAGCTAGTTCTAATCTCAGCTAGCCAGCAGTGAGACTCAGGACAAATTCCTTAACCTCTGGGCAGGGTTTTTGTTGTTTTTTTTTTTTGCAATTTGTAAAATGAGGTAATAGTACTTGGCTCCAGCGACTGTGAAGGATTACATGCGACAATCACAGGAGGCACTTGGCATACATCGTGCTGGACACAAGGTCAGGCCACAGGAGGTACAAGGCCTACATCGCACCCGACACAAGGTCAGGCCACAGGAGGTGCAAGGCCTGTTCCTGTGGTCAGCGATGCCCAGGGAAGGAGCATGAGGTCCCTTCTAACAGAGCTGTCCTTCCTCTTTCCATTCCACGGCACCTCAGGAAGCCTTTCTCACCCACCCCATCCAATCCCATTCTTCCATGACTGGCTAACTCATGTTTTCCAGACAGTTCCCTTCAGACTGGCACCGCAGCCTGTATATACAGACCAGGACCTCAGAGGACTTCCTCCCATTCCTAGCTGCATGGACGCTTCTGGACAACAAGCCATAAGGGCTCCAAGAAAGGACACCCACACACCCACACACACCTATGCAGAGAGTATTTGGGAAGGATACAGCCCTACATACCTGCTTGACAGCCCGTACCACTTCCTGGACATGGGAGTTGTTGATCTCTCTCTTGAGCCTGTTGATATAATTGGAGTTTTATAAAGGGACCCTCCTGGGGGGAGGGGCAGAGTCCTAAGGGTTCAACAAATAAGAACTCAATCCTTGAAGCAGCAATGAGCAGAAAGACCAGCATGGAAGATGGGTGGTACTGAGAGCCCTGGGGCCTACCTACTTCCTCCCTAAAACACACTGACTTAAAGGCCTCCAGAGTGCCCACAGGTGGGGAGCACAGACGCCTAAGTGGACAGGCTGCTGTCCCCAGGTGTCATCTCCCCTCTTAGCGCAAGGTTTCCCTTCCATTGCTCTCTCTGCTTAAGCAGTGCTGGCATCTGTGTTTTGCTTAAGGGAGACTCTCAGAGATACAACAGGGAGACCGACCAACTTGTTAAGGGCCAAGAAAGAGGCAGATCTGTGAGAAGCAAATTAGGATCCCTTGTAGGGAGACCCTCTTCCAGCTGGAGGAGGACCCATTCAGCTGGGCCTCTCCTTCAAGGTTTACCTCTCTTGGGCTGCCTTGTCTGTGGTGACTTTGGTCATGGCCTGGATCCGTTCCAGCCTCTTGACCTCCAGTTTTTTCCTTATCTCTTTGGTGTCACTTCGGGGAGACAGAGAGAAGGAGATAGTCTGTGAGCTGCAGCCTTTGCCAGGAGGGAGGAACAGGCAGACACTGGAGGCGGTCTCACGTTTCTGAGAACTCCTTGAAGGTCTTGAGTTCAGCAGCCTGTTTCTCTCTGGCCAACTCCATCATCTTGGTGATTTGCTGCGAAGGAGGAAGGACGGGCTTAGTGAGAAGCCTTTGACCGTGCAGAAGGGGTGGGGTTGGTTGCTTCAGAGGCCGCGGACCGCTGCCAAATCCCACACCTCGGTCACGTGCTGCTCCTTGCACTTGAGGACAGAGCGGTACTGCTCCTCGCCCAGCTGCTGCAGCTCCTGCTCCAACCTGTCCCTCAGTTCCTGCACGCGCGGGTCCGCACCCTCGGGAAGCTCGCTAGGCGCCACCACAACAGTCTCCTCACAAGGCAAGATCCTGTGAAAACCACGTGGGAACAGGCCCTGAGTCAGGCGCCAATACTCCGTGGGGGGGGGGGGGGCAGAACACGGTTGAATCCTTTACCTCTTCTTGCGGGAGCCCTTGCCCGGGCGGATCTTGCAGGCAGCGCCTGGAGCACTGAGTTCTGCCAGCTGTGCGGTGCCACGCTGCAGCAGCTCCTCCCAGCGCCGAGCTCCACGCTGCTCCAACTCTCGAAGCTCCTTCTCGTGTCTCCGCTGCAACTTCACCACACCCTTTAGTTCCTGCAGCTCCTCCAAGCTGGCTGTCTGTGGCTCTGAAGAGTACATGGACATGGCATCAAGCTGCCCAGAGCTTCCTCCCTGCTCTGCTGCACCCCCAAGGTTCCAGGCCCACCTCCCAGATTCTATCCCAAGATCACAGAGCTCAGCCGGCCTTACCTGCCACTTCTTTGGTAGCTTCCTCCTTGGCCTTGGCCCCAGGTGCTGTAAGAGCGCAGGACCGGACTGTCAGGTGCTTTGGACAAGGCACCTCCGTTTGGTTCCTGCAGGGTTGCAGTTTGCACCCTCTGCAACTACCCCTTTCTAGCACTGATGATCCAGACCTGGATCTTCCCTTCCCAGATGAAAATGTTAGTCCCTGGAGGACTATGAGTGCGGTGGGAGAGGTGGAGAGCAATACACCAGGCAGGTGGACCCGGAACTACCTACCTGTCGACCTGTTGCTGGCCGGGACTGAAGCCCCGTTGGACTGTCTGGCAACAGGAATCACGGATGAGAAGGGCTTCTGTGTGAAGACAGCCGGTCAGAAAGGCAACTCTAACACCCCTCTCCCTGAGCAGGGGACGCTGCTCCTCCCCACGCATCCCTCAGCTCGTGGAGGGCTTTCGTGGGAGGACAGCCTGTTAGAAAGGCGGCTCTAACCCCCCTTTCCCTGAGCAGGGGACGCATCCCTCAGCTCGTGGAGGCTTTTGGTAGTAGTCTAGGTAACACAGACCTCAGGCAGACTTCCTGTCACCTCCTTGAGCTTCATAGACTTCTTATCTTGGGCATTGAAGTACTTGATGGGGTTGGCGAGAGCCACAGTAAGATCTGGGAAGCACAGGATATGACCAGCCTGGTACATATGAAGCTGGACCTGGAAAGGTCCACCTACCACCCTTTCTTGTTCCCCGTGAGATATTGGCTTAATAAAGGAAGAGCGAATGGACAGTGTGGGGCCCCTGGCACGCCACAGGTCTCCTACCTGCCCATGTGTCGGGCACATAATCCTTCATCTCCAGGAAGACAAAGAGGGCAGGCATGGTAAGAGGCATGTTGCTCTCACTGCGCAGGCACAAGTGGTGGTACCCTATTGAACAGGATAAGGGGGATGGCAGCGGTAAGTTTGCCCAGGGCTGCACACAAACAGCACTTAGGATGTCTGACTTTAGAGTCAAATGCCAGGGTCCTAAGCCTAAGGTGTTGCTTCCCTACAGTGTGACTTTGGGCAGGTTAAGCTAACTCTCCGGGTTCTCATCCATCTGCCTCGTGTGTTTATTATGAGAATGTGTTGTAAGCTCCTCACACATTTTTATTAATGTATTTATTTACTGTGTGCGTGCTCGCAAGCACATGGGCGTGCAGAGGTCAGAGGACAGCTTGTGGGAACTGGCTCTCTTGTTTCACCGTGTGGGCCCCAGGGTCAAACTCAGATCATCAGGCTTAGCAGAAAGTGCTTCTACCCGCTGAGCCACCTCCTCAGCTCCCCTCACACATTCTAAGTACCCGTGGATGCCAGCTGCTCAGGAATCTGTAACAGTGGCTCCAAAAAAGCTTGGGCATTCTGTTAGGTGGGCAGGGTTCCCACAGGTCAGGTTCCTGGCTGGAGAAAGCATTCCTGCCCCACTACTTAGACAAGCTGGTGAGGCCACAGAGACCCTGCCTGAAGCCCCTGCCCCACCTCTAAACAGGATACTGGTCTCATCTCAGAGTCTCTGCAAGTCGTTAAGAGGTCCGTTCCTTACCAGAACGCAAGGCATTGATGGGAATGATTCGGTGTCCGAGAAATCTGTTCCCTTCTTCCATCACAGCTATCCTGAGGGAAGCCAGTTCAGGTAACAAGATCTAGAGGTAATTTATGACAGGAGAGGCTGAGGAGTGGACACGGGGGAGCCTACCTTCCCTTCACCGCTGTCTCCAGAAGTCTCTGTGCCAGGGTGAGAACCTGGCAGCCTTACCAGAACGGTGAGGCTAGGGAAGCCTTGCCCTATGGCACATACAGGCATCTTACAGTTTGTGCCAGGCTCACACAGGAGGAAAGGGCTCGATATGTAGCCCAGGACAGTGAGCCCCATGTAAATAGCCCTTGGCAGCTTTGCCAACCAGTGTCCAAGCAGACAAAAGAACCTCACCATTCCCTTACCCTGGGCAGGGAGTTCATGTTTTCATCCCTAATCCTAATGAGTACACACTCTCCCCCCAGCACGCGTGCTCTCTCTCTCTCTCTCTCTCTCTCTCTCTCTCTCTCTCTCACACACACACACACACACACACACACACACACCCCTAATGACCTTGAGTTTGGGACATATGAAAGTCAGAAAGGCATAGAGGAGGGACAGAAAGAGGAAATGGTGGGTCAGGAGCCCCTCTTCCGTTGTTTCCTCTTATCTGTAAGCAAAGGCCAAGAACTAGGGACAAGCTCCAAGGCCAACCCCATCCCTAGCACCTTCTCAAAGACAAAGGGCTCCTCTTTCCAGACTGGATTGATGGAGTTAGTAGTAGGTGACAGCTTGGTGCGATAGCGCCTCTTGGGGTCCCCTGGGAGGCCAAATATTTCCACTTCCACATAGGTACGAACGCTGCGCTCTGACAGGAACTGCCCAGAGATCACCTAAGGGTGAGGACCCAGGGGAGGCCAGCATTAGGTACCCTGCTTAGGTTGGTGCCTAAGACAAAGCCAGACCTTTGTCTCCATAGGGCTAAGTACCTATCGTGGGTATTAAGAAAACCCCCTTTCAGCCCTGGCCCTCAAATAGAAGCTGTGTGACTCAAGATTGACAGCCAAGCTTTAAGGACCTGGGTGCTTCTGGCACTCAGGGGAGAGGTGGGCCACCTCAGACAAGAAGAACGGACCATTTTCCCCCTGGTTTGAAGCCCTGGCTCCTGCTGCCCAGCATGGACCAGTCCCTCTCCCCTCCCCCACTGGAGCCTCAGCCCTTCCCTTGGTTTCCATGGGGACCAAGAGGCAGACTCCAGTGTTGAGGAGGAGGCAGTTTCCAAGGCAACTTGCAACTGCACGAACTGGCTGGGGCTGAAGTCTTCAGGATATCAGGGAAGGGGGTTGGGGCAGAGGGGTGGGCTTCTAGGCTTTCCTCCTCAAGAGCCCGGCACCTCCCAGTCACTGGTCAGCCCCAGGCCTTGCCGTAATGGAAAGGGTGGTGGCTACCACCACATCGATGCTGTCCACTGAGAAGGGGTTGAACTGCTTGTCCAGCCTGCGCATGAATTCATGCTTTAGGAGGTATCCACTCTGCCCGTTGAACTCAAACAGTGCCATGTTCTGCTGCATTGGCAGGTCTGGGGGTATGAGAGGGCTCAGTGAGGAGGGTGGAGCCTGAACCCACTCTCTGTCTCTTTCCAATGCTTTCAAGCCTTGCTTGCCTTGGGAATGGGGACATTTGGGTAGATCACAAGGGTGAGAGTTTCTCATGTCCCATCCCAGGTCCTTGGGGGTATCTAGCCTCTCAGAAAGGGAGTCCTCAGCCTAGAGTCAGCAAGGAGTAATGGCATGACTGGGCTACAAGCTCGCAGTGGACCTGGGATGGCTGGCACAGGTGTTTCCAAAACCACAGCCAAACAGAGTAGCCGAGGCAGCCTTGGTGGCCTATGCATGTTCCGACAGATGAACAGCTGAACGGGCATGAGGGAAGGCTCCCCTCCCCAAAGTGCTCACACACCACAGCAAGCTCCCAGAGCCTACCCAAACACCATACCCGGTATGCAACAAAGATCCCCAGGGAAGGGATAAAGATGGGCTAGGCAGGGCCTGGGAGGGTTCTCCGGGTCTAGGAGTGCTCTTACCCATTGTTTGGAAATTGAGGGCAACCATCTGGCACCCAGCATTCCAGAACATCTGGGGCATGTAGTTGGAAGAGTCCATGCGTGTGCCCTTTGGGTACACTCGGCTCATCTGGCGTTTATTGTAGCTGTTGCGGAGTATAGGATCTGACCAAGGCCACTTGCACCAGCAGGACCCCAGGCCCTCCCCGCAAGCCCCATCCCACCAGGGACCTCGGCTGGTGAAGCCTCAAGGATACTCCACAAACTGCATCGAGGCCTTCGAGAGCAGCTCATAGGCCTTGAGCTCCGTGAAGGAAGAGATGACATAACTTCTGTTCTTCTCTATTCCAGGGAGGAAGGGAGGGGAGGTCCACATTAGGCTGTGCGCGCTCTCTCTCTCTCTCTTTCTCTCTCTCTCTCTCTCCTCTGACCTCTTTTGTAGCACTCCATAAAGCAATGCTCCCAACCTAGGATTCTGTTTCTGTTGTGGTCTCAGGTTTGAGAGGAACGTGGGGGGATAAATGTACCGGGGTAAAGGGGACTACACAGTGTTCCTACGCAGAGGGAGGAAACCTGCACTATGGTCCTAAAGAGTGAGGGCTACATCCCACGGAGGGTGTGGCAGACACATGATGCTGAGTCCAGGATACCAGGAATGTGTGCTACACACACCTAGTGAAAGAATGGCTGGGGCATGTAGCTGGATGAGTCCATGTGTATGCCCATGGAACACACAAAGCTAACGTGTTGTTTGTTATTGACTGACCCCAAGTATATGTGCTGGCCAAGGCCATTTTCACCAGAAGGACCCCAGGCCTTCCTGCAAGACCCCAGGGATGGGACTTTGGCTGGTGAAGTCTCAAGGATACCCAGGCAGTGACTTTACAGGGAGTGAAATGTGCAAGCAATTAACAAGTGCACAGGGGGAGAGCCGCATGCCGAGGGCAGTCGGGACCCCGTGTCCTCCGAAGCACATTCGGGGTGTACCCAGGTAACAGAACAGGTTGTGAGGTCAGGATGGGGAGTATTGGAGGTCAGCATTGGATATTAAACCGCACAAGAGTGTTCAGAAAAGTGCTCATGCTGGGAAGACACACAGAGAGTGGAAAATGCACTCGAGTGCATCCTGGAAAGACCTGGGCAAACAGCAGGTAGATGCACAAACGCACAAAAGAGGGGATCCAATGGGGTAAGTGAACACTGAAGATTCCTCTGCCTTCCACTCCCTCCTGGAAGTTGCTTCCCTCCGCCCGGACAGGGTTTCTCTATGTAGAGCCCTAGCTGTTCTGAAACTCAGTATGTAATTTCTAACTCAGAGATCCACCTGCCTCTGTCTCCCCGGCACCAGGATTAAAGGCGTGCTCTCCCCTCTCCAAGGAACCCTTACCTCCAGGACTGGGGCTCCTAGACTTGGGGCAGCATTTGGTATAATTTAGGCCTGGGAACTGCAAAACTTTAGAAAACTCCAGAAGCCCCAGACAGGCCTGGCTGAGGTGGCCTGTCATAACGACCTGCCTGTCACTGACACACTCCAGAACATTCCATCTGCTGCCAAGTTCTTCAGTCCGATGCTGGGAGCCATTGCCACTTAAACAAGCCCTTTGTCTGACTCCTCCACTGAGTATTTATAGACAAGGACCTTAGTGCAAGGAGGGGGCAGGTCCCCCTTCCTTTTGTCCCACTCACCAGGCCACTCTTGAACGAGGGCAGCCCTCGCCCGATCCCAGCCTGCCTTCTCTCCATTTTCCTGTACTAACATACGTACGTGAGGAGAACTCAAAGGAGATGAACTTGGTGGGCTGGATGTAATTGACAAGACTGGACATTTCCTCATAAGCGGTCACCTCCAAGCCTGCTGTGCCCTAGAGATCAAGGGGGGGCGGGACTCTGAGTGGTGGCGCCCAGGCTGCAGTCCGTGCCCACCGGAGAGCATCACCGTGGAGGCGGCAGAGGGACTGTCCCCACACACCTCATCCGACTGCATCTTCTTTATCTCTTCTTCGTCCAGGCTTCCTGACTCTTCCTCTTCCTCCTCGTCCACCACTTCCTTTGCCTCAGTCCGGTCCTCACCGGTCCACACTGCCACACACAGTTCTGTTAATGCTGACCCCCCCCCCAAACCCCACCCCATCCTTGTAACTCGCTCACCTGTGTCGTCCTCTAAGGGGACACCAGAGGGACTGTTGCTCTCAGGCTCCCCACCAGGCTTCTGCTCATCAGGGCAGCTGGGGGATGCTGGACCAGAAAACTGGTTCTTCTTATTCTTAATGAGAATCTTGCCCCGGAGGTCCTCAGGGCTGGGCAGAGGGACTCCAGGTTTCAGCTGTGGAAAGGGAAAAGGGTGGACGCCATTGCCTCTTTTGTGGTGTGTGCTTGCTACTCCAAACTGTCCCTCTGGTGCAGACCTGTGTCTGTTGCCTCACTTCCCACCATTCTTGGGAATCAAATTCGCATTTGACCAAATGACCTGTTCCTTGGCCGTCATGTCTCTTTTACCTGTTCCTTCTGACTAGAATGTGCTTTCCCCATGCTCACTGAGTCTTTGTCAGCTTCCAGATTTCACCTTAACCATCACATCCCTCCAGGAAGTCTTCCCTGATCCCCTAACTCCCGAGCACAGTTTCCCATAGCAACCGCTGGCTGTAATTGGCCTGGATGCTTGTCCATCTCCTCATGAAAGAGGGTCAGAAACCTGGGGTAGCGACTGGAGAGTTCAGCTTTGTTTTATTTTGTCTTGTTTGGGTTTTTTGTTTGTTTGTTTTAGGTAGGGTCTCACTATGCAGCCCTGAATGGCATGAAACTTGAGATTTTCCTCCTCAGGCACTTCTTGATAAATGCCAGCACTAGGAGACCCTTAATTCTGGCATACTCTCTGACACACGGTAGGTGACAGGAGCCCAGACTCAACAATCCAACCAAAGAAACTCAAGTGTCTCTCCCCTCCTGACCCGGTTCCACCTTTCCCCAGGTTCAGATGCCACCCCCCCCCACCCCAAGACTGCACTCACAGGAAATTTTTCCAGGGGTTCCGTGAGTAGGGTGTCTCCGAACATGGTCCTGCAGTACTCTGCCATCTTAGCCTGTTGGCGGGGTCTGGTAGCAGTGAACAAAAGTAAAGGGAGGGGTTAATTGCTTAACGCCAATTCTCTTGCCCATTGTTTGTGCCCTGACAGCTCAGAACAGGGGCCCAGGAAGCAAGGGAGGGAGGAACCCAGGAAGGAGAAGCTGAAGTCCTAAGGAGGCTGTATTGTCCAAAGAACTCAGCGAAGGACTAGAGCCTGGGTTCAGGCAAGGGGCTGCGGCGCAGGTGGAGAATGAGGCTGGGTACGCACGAGTCCACATGGTTTTCAAATGACAAGATGACAGGATAGGGGGAGGTCTTAAAGGCACTTTCTGCGATGGCCTCGATTGCTTCCTGGAGGGAAAAGGAACTCTATAAAGAGGGTATCCCCTCCCTGTGGTGCCCCTCCCCATAGTGCCTCCCTCAGTTTCAGCAAAGGCGTGAAACTAGGCAGCCACTGTAGCCTAGAAGCAGCTTGAGACCTTCCAGCGTGTGTCTGCCTTCAGCTTCACTCCCCTAACTTCAGAAGGCTTCTCCTCGGCCCCTTTCACCACAGTCGGTCTCCATATCCCAAGACCCACCTTGAACAAGATATCTGTGGTCATGGTGAAGCCATGGGTGATGATGGGCTCCTCGTCAGGGGGCTTTCCCTTCCAACAGTCTAATTCTACACAGCGGCAGCCAGACAGCAGCACCTGGCGGTACATCTCAGCCGAGGAGAGGCCTGAAAACTGGCCAGCTGAGTGGGCGGAGAAGAGAAGGGGCGAGGATGTCACTCCCAGCCAGGCTAGTCCCCTCACAACTTCACAGTCTGGGGTAAGCGGCAGTGGAACAGCATCTGTGGAGAATCCAGAGCCTAGGACCCACCTGTCAGGTAGGTGTTGTGGGAGGAGTTGATGAAGTAGTGATTCAGAGGCTGTGTCATGTCCTGGTGGAGCCGCAGCACATTGTGGTCTAGGATGCTGTTCTCTGGGCCACAGAGAAACCAGACCATGCCCTCTGGCGACAGCTGGCCTGCGAGACAGTAGACAGCAAGCAGTCACGGCTGCAGCTCAGCTCCCAGGGCAGGACGAGACTACGGGAAGTAGGGGTTCCTCGGTCCTCACCCCTCTGCACATTGATGCCGCTGGGTTCGTACTTGTCGATGAGGGCCTGCACCTGCTCTGGCCGGGCCGGTGGGAAGAGCAAGGAGTTGAGGCGAGAGTCTCGCTGCTTCTGATTGATGAATTTGGTCAGGTGCTCCTTGGTCATGTAGGGTTTAGCTTTAGCGTGGCTGCAGGCCAGGAGAGGGGCACAGATGTTGTCTTTAGACCTAGAGGTTCTTCTCTTGGAAGGAAAGAACTGCCTTCCTTAACACCGCTCCAGGCCCAGCCCAAGGAACTCACTAAGAAGTGAAGATCTCGTCAATTTCTGGCCGAGGACAGAGACTCATGAGAAAGCTCTTGTATACAGACTCTGGGAAGTCCTCAGGATTGATAGTGTCATTCTGGAAGAACCATCACCTTGTTATCTTTCATCTCAGTTGCTCAGAGCTAAGACTCACCACAACCTACCCCCAGCTCTGGGAAAGGAGGCCTGATCAGAGAGAGTCCTCAGGGTACACAAGGCAGCAATCACAAGGGCCACACACATCTCAAGGGGCTTGCTGTCTGGCGCCAGTACCAGCTAGCTGGCTTGCTTTGACAATGATTTTGGATAGTGGCTAGCTAGTTCTGTAGCTGGAACGGGATTGGAACTAAGTGTGAACTTAAAGATGATAAAATGTCCTAAGTAAAGAATGCTGCTTTCCTGTCCGAGTACCAGGATTTCTTCTCTTTTTCCCTTCTTAAGTGAAGGACAAATTATCTGAAGAAACTGAATATAAACAAATGTGCACCTGATAGTAGAGCCCTGAAATATGAGAAGAAAAACCTGACAGAGCTGGAGGGAGAAATAAAACAATTCAACAGTAGCAGAGTAATTGCCTAATATGCATGAGACCCAGCACACACACACATTGCACATACACACCACACATACACACATATGCATACACACACATGTACATACACCACACACATACACACCACCCCCACACATACATACCACACATATACACACATACACATACATACACACATATGCATACACACACATGTACATACACCACACACATACACACCACCCCCACACATACATACCACACATATACACACATACACATACATACACACATATGCATACACACAAATGCACACACACACACACCACACACATAAACCATACACACACAAACAACAAAACACAAGTAATTGGGAAAACCAAAAGAGACGCACACACAGTAATAAAAATTGACTTCGTCAAAATTTAAAATATGTTCGCTCATAAGGATATCATCAAGAAACTGAAGGCTAGCCTGAGCTAAGAAAGGAAAGAAGGGAGGGAGATTGGGAGGAAAAGAAAGGACAGAAAATCCACAGAATGAGATAAAATATTTACAAATCGATTGTCTGTTAAGTGACAATTCAACAACCAAAAGATAGCCCAGAGGATGAGGGGATGACTTGACTGTTCAAGTACGTGCTGAGCAAGCATGAAGGCCTGACTCAGACCCCAGCAGCACATAACACTGGTCCCGGTGCTGTGTGGGTCTGTAGCCCCAGGGCTGAGAATGGGCAAATCCCCTCAGCTCATTGCCAGCCAGTCAAACATAAGTTCCAGGGCCAATGAATGCCTTTCAAAAAATAAGATGGAAGTTGAAGAGACGGCTCAGTGGTTAAGAGTCAATAGTGACCTTCCAGAGGACCTGAATTCGATTCCAGGCACCCACAACAGATGGCTCACAGCTGCCTGAAACTGCAGCTCTATAGGGATCTCGTGCCTCTGACCTCTGAGGGCAACTGCACTTCCGGGCACATATCCTCACACCGACATATACACACAATTTGAAAAATGAATAAAACTCGAAAAAGTAAGATGGAGAGTGATGGAGAACCCCTGGCATCGACCTCACCCTCCACACAAATACAAACTCATGAGCGCACACACACATACATACACCATAAACACACTTGCATACAAAAATTTAAATTACAGATAGACGACGAATGTAAAATGATGTTCTGCAAAGGAGATGTGGAAACAATAAGCACATGAAAAGACGCTCACACATCGCTGGTTATTAAGTAAACACAAATTAAAATCACGATGAGATACCATCTCTTTCCTATCAGGATAGTATAAACAGAAGGCGGACAGTAGCAGTGTTGGTGGGCTGTGGGAAGACTGAAACCCTTACACAGTGCTGGTAAGAAAGTAAAATGGTACAGCCACTCTAGGTAAGTTTTTCAGTTCCTTAAGATGGTAAATATAGTCACCCTATAACTGAACAATTTCACCTGAGTGTGTGTATCCAAGAAGGTTGAAAGCAAAATCATGACAAATTGTGAATAGAGACATTATCCATAATAGCCAAAAAGTGGAAGGAAACCAAGTCTCTGCCAACATGGAATATGATACTGCAATATAAAAAAAAAATCAAGCGCTGATGCTACCATGTGGACAGATCTTAAAAACACTGTGTGGAGTGGATAAAGGCCAATCAAAGACCACAGACTGTATACAGAGTCCCTTGACATAAAATATCCAGAGACGGAGAATCTGCAGAAATAAAAAGGGAAGCAGGCCGATAGTGCACACGGACCCTATGCTTTTCATTGCGTTTCTCCAGAAAACAAAACAAACGTTAAGTCCTGTTCAGGACCTAACTGGAAAATCAGCTCGAGCCTTGATTGGGAGGTGAGGGTCTTCTGCAGCCCAGCTCCGCCTCCGAAGCTGTCAGTGGCCTCTATTGGGACACACAGGAAGCAGACCAATAAGGACACAGCTAGGGATGGCAGCTCAGGAAAGAAGTTGGCCACTAGATGCAGGCAAGTGGTAAAACCTGTAAGGACGACCTCAGGAGTCCAGCCCACCTTCTCCTCTGCCTCAGCCTTGCCTCCAGGGTGACTGGCCGCGTGTGGGGGATATGCTGTAGAAGTTGGGCCTCTAAGGGAGTATTCCTTGTGTGGCTCATAAGGAGAGATGCTTAGAATCTCGGTTTCACTCATTTCTACTGCCCTAAATTCTTGCCAGGAGAAATGTTTCACGGGGTGAGGGCTGTAATTACACAAGGGCACAGGCCAAGGTGACAAGGGCTTGAGAACTAACACCATTCCCAGAGCCAGGTTTGAACCTTGGCCATGGGCTGTATCTACCCAGAGAGCTCTGTTTTTGGTAAATCACATAAGACATCTCATGGGGTGACCCTGCTTCTGACTTGTAATTAAAAATTAATTGCTTAATTAAAAAGAAGTGGAAAATGTGTTTCTGAATTGAGCTGAAGTCTGTGCCCTGGCAGCTTCCTCCCTTGGCCCTGCTCCTCTCCCCCAACACCTTGCAGAGCTGGTCCCTTCCTGGAACTGTCAGATCCCAAGGTCTGTCTCCTGTCCTTCTTGACCACATCTCGCTCCCCCAACAGTGAGAGCATCCAACTCCCATTCCAAGGCTAGAAGGTTTGCCGTGTCTGCTGCTGTCCCCAGCTCTGCCTCTAGCACTCTTGGAGGCAGACCTTCCGACTCCGAACCCAGCACTGCACCTGCTTGCCCACCTCCCACCTTTACACCTAGTGTCAGCAACCAGAGGTTCTGGGTTAATTGGCTTTGGGAGCTATTGACGGGCTAGTGATGCTATTTCTGCTCTCCCCATCTACCACTATCCCTGCCCATGTGTTGCTGTTGTTTTCTGGTGGCAGCGAGAATTAGGAGACTGACTGGGGCTGGAGAACTACTCACCTTGCCCTTTGCAAGGTGACAAGCACTGAGGGCAGCTTCTACGCGTTTGCGGTCAGCAGGAAACATCTGGAAAAAACTGAGGAGGCAAAGAAAAGTTCCAGGCAGCAGAGAAGTCTTGCCTAGCAAGGGAAGGCCTGGGGAGCTGGGTGGCAGCCAGAGGGAAATGCAAAAGACTCACTTCTTCACGGGAATCTTTCCTTCAGGATTGAGCTGCATTTTAAGCTTCACCAGGCTGGAGAGAGAGACAGCAGCCCGTCAGGCTGGGGGCTGGCAAGCCAACCCCTTGAGCTCAGGCAGGTACTTACATTTTGTCTAGGAAGGTGCTTCGGGGAGCGTTGGCTGTCATCGGATGTTTGGTGAGAGTCAGTACATCCTCAGCCCAGTCCTGCAGGACACAGAGCCTAGAAGTCACACTCCTGAGCACAGGTGCCCCCGAGTCCCTCCACCCAGGCCTGTGACTCTCGCAGGAAGGCCAGGCTGTCCTGAGTGCCAACACTCCACCCATGTGTTGCCACTGCACCTTGCCCACGTTCTCCTTGTAAGAGACAAAGTTGTGGAAGGTGAGGTCCACCATGTCAGGGCCCGACACCACTGTGAGCGCTTTCAGCAGGAAGTGGTTGTCTGGGAAGTCCATGTTGAAGACCTCCCGGAGTTTCTGGCTCTGAGGAAAGCAAGGACACAGCGAGGGTCAGAGGTGAGTGCTCAGTTTTGCCCCAAGGGTCTTTTCCTTTATCTCCTCATCAGCCACTTGACCGTGGAGCCTAGGAACTGGGAACCATAGACCTCAGGATCCCCCTGCCCCTGGTTCCAGCAACTGCCATGGGAAGGGGAGGCCCATAGGAAGAGATTGGCTAAGACAGTGGGACCTGGGAATTCTGGGAATTTTGTTTGAGGAAAGATTCTTAGCTCCCTGACTCAGGAAATCCAGGTTCCTACTGTTAATCACTTCAATCTTCTTACCAGCTTTAGGGAAATGTAGGCAAAGCAGTGGGGAGCAACGAGTAGAAGAAACACTTCCCAGACAGTCTGGCATAATTAGGGGCAGGGATGGCTCCTCCTCCAGTCCTGCCATCTCCACCGTGCCCACTTCTCATGCTCAGTCCCCAGGCGAGCTGAGCAGCAGCCACCACACCACTCCATTCTTCCTTGGCCTGAGCTAGGATCCTTGCTGCCCAGCAGCCCAGGACCCAGTCACCTGGTCCCACAGATGGGCGCCCTACCCCCAGGAGAGACTTATTCTTTGCTCTGAGCAACTGGTAGCTGCTTCTGGGCCCACTTACCTTGGGTATCTTGGCAAACTTGCCAAAGCGAGTGTCTCGGATGCTCGTGATATCCAGGAACTCCATCTCCTGGCAGCAGTTCCCAGTGGGAGCAAAGCAGGGTGGGGACACAAAAATCAAGTAGAGAATGAAGACCGGAGTGGCGAGAGCTTCCACACCCCTTCAGGTCCTAGCTGCTGCCTTCTCTGTATGCCAAGGCATCTCAAGACTATCTGGACCCTTCCCTCTCTTCCTGCTCATCTGTTTCTCTCTGTTTTTGGGGATCTTCTACTCCTTGACCCATTCCTTCTCTGGAATAAGAGTTGCAACCTGCACCATTTTTCACCGTGGAATCCCCCATGCCTTCTTCTGTTGTTCTGTCTGGTTGCTGAGCCTGTCCTCTGAGTTCTAGGCTCTGATATGACCTGGAGCCACCCATACATCATTGTCTTTCAGCTCAGCAAGCAGTCTTCCCCCACTCTCTCCAAGGCTAGTATACTAACTTGGGACTGAGTAGGTCCCAGGCAGTCACAGAGCCAGGTAACTGCAGCTTCCAGTCCCCTGCCCAT